AGTACCATCAGAACAGATAATGAACACGACAAATTTTCCCTGCTATGTCTTAGCTAGATAGCTGGTAACAACAAAGGTGGTGAGCACTGAGTGAACGTTCAATGCATTTGTTTATTAGAACTAGTTTCCTGTTCGTTGGAGGCTTAAACGCTTACTCGGTGGCAGAAAACTAGAGCGATACGATCAGGCGTATTATTGTATATTATTATGTTGTTATCTGTAGACGTTTTTGGCGTACTGATAGTAGATAAGTGGGACCATATGTTCAGGCCGCTGTGTAACTAACCTGCCATACTGACCTAAATTTAAATGGTCAATAAATTGTCGAATTGCCGTTCGTTTTTAATATCGCCTGAATTGAGGTCCAGTTGGTTACCATGCATGTAAAACAGAATTCTGAATTCCGGATAGTTGTCTACTGGCTACGCTAAATTTGTCTGATGCCGTTATTGAAAGTAGCTCTTCCAAATCCTTTGCATAGACAAATGATGACTAAGCATTTTCTGTGCGATTGGTATCACAGACTCGGAAGCTGAGGCTGCACTGTGGATGTTCACTCTAAATGTCTCATGACAATGGAGCTAAGCCCATACTGTAAAAAATAACCACAAGGCTATTCTCAGAACACTGTTAACTTATTATTAGCATCACTCGGTTGTGTGACAAGGTTAAAATGGAAAGTATCCAGGGATATTTTACGTCCAATCGACTCGGATATGAATGTGTGAAAGAGTACATTTCTCGGTGTATGTCTCTAAACCATGCTCCACTCTGGTCGAGACGACCCTTTATAGGCCCAATATTCCTCCACAAAATATCATTGTCAGAGAGTGAGGACATACAATTCTCGCATCAAGGCTCTTATGATCTGCGCAACCGAACTTGCACAGTGACAATAAATGCCTTTAAATCGTCACTCTATGAAAATTTCTCCACAGTCATGTATTCTAAGATATGGAGCAGTTTACTCCTAGAAGTCAGAACCTGCTCCTTGGTGGCAAGTTTCAGACGCTTTCTGTACAGGTTTTTTACTGTGCTGATTACATTAAAATTAAGAGTGCACTGTTTATCTCTAGAATGAATAAAATATTAGGAAAGGTAGGTGTCCAAATAACGCGTACAACTCTACTAATTACTAAGTAAAAATGATAAATGGAATATTCGCGCAGGTTTATAAAATGACTAGGCGAATATCATTTCATATGTTTATTAGATGGCAATGTATAATGGATACAAATATTTATTTATTTACAGACATTTAAATCCCATCAGTGCCCACACACATTTTCTTTCCTCTCTTCTGCTCGCCTTTCCTCTTCTATTTGCTTTGTAGTGGAAGTTGCACAGACCTGCAGGAGGGCTGAAGTTGAACAGGACTTAAAGCCACTTATATGTACCGCATCAGCCTTCTAGCTGTTAGCTCGTAATAACTCAACATCCTGAAAAACTCCCACTTCGCCATATGAGCAATATCCATGACCTAAAATGAAGGCAGAACTACTTTACAAATACCTTCCCATCTTAATCAGCTTGAGCGCACAGATCACCGTGCAGCCACAATTTACGGTAATGGCTGACTCTGGTAAAGTAAAATAAATCTGCCTGGCTATGGCCAATATTCGTTTCCACGGAACAGGATTCACTTCTGATGTTACCCTACGATGACACCACCGAGATTACAGAAATATATTACTGTCTCACTTGACCATAATGCAAGAATAAGATTCGATACCGCAAGCGACAAGGTTACTGGGAGGATTAACTTCAAGTTTTATTTTTCCAAGGTATTTGTGATCCATTCCACACAGACCTAGGTTTTCCTGTCAATGCGAAGACAATATCCCTATATTTCTTAATGTGCTACATTGACTAACCAGTTAGCAGATTGTCCTCGCAAACTAAAGTAAGAAAGAACAGCAAATATGTGAAATCTCCATAAACCAAATTCATGTAATCTGAATTGCACTTATCCAAGGCTGTACAAGTGATATGTTCCTGCATAGATAGGAAAAACAATTTTGTTACTATCAACAATTTGTGAAACGTTGTACGAAAAATATTTTTGAATATGTAGATGGAATCAATATCAGTATAAGAGATGAGACCATTATGTATTTGTTTGCAGCATCTCAATTCAGTAATGCAGCTCTGAGTGAAATTGTTCATTGCACACTGAAAGGTACAAGTAACAAATCAGTAAATATTAGGATCCTAATAGAAATCCTTAAGGAAGAGATGAACTTAAAATTGTAATCAACACATTAAATGAAAACACCTACCCTGGGAATTTTGACACGAAGCACATGGCCAAGTGAGTAGAAAAGGATTTTTCTCTATCTGCTAAAAAGCAGCATCGATATGCGCGAATTCAATTCAAAGGTGACGTGCTAAACCAAATCATAATCAACAAGTTGAGAAGATAGGTTCAAACAACGTTTGGTACCCGCAAGCCATAACTTATATTTTTCAAACACGTTGCGTTTCTGAAAACGGAAGATGAAATAACTAGGCTAGCCACGTCTTATCGTAGCTTTCAATCCTGCTGTTCCTATGGAGCCATTTATATGAGCCGTTTACCTAGTAATTCAATTCTTCATCCTCGGAAGCGCTCACCAGTGCGGCTAGATAAAGGCATACGTAAAGCCGTCAGCAGTTCTGTATTAGATCACCTCGTCCAAACACTCCACACATCAAGCAGTGAAGAGTCTTGTTCTATTACCAGCCGAGCATCGAATAAAGACTTCCATATATCGAACACTACAAATGGAGGGCAGCGCATTCCGCCTAAATAAAGCGGAGCTCTGCGTGCAAAGGACACAGGTCCAGTTAATACTGCTATCATGGCCCTCCGTGGGACCAGTAAGTTCAAAAAACTCTGTATTAATTTCATTAATTTAACCGACATTCACTTTACTGTTGCGCTGATGCATATTATCACTCACGGATGCTTTTGGTCTGTTATCTGTCAATATTACTGATTCAGAGTTATTTAAAACATCATTTAAATAACAATAATTCTTTAATTATTGACACAAATGTAGAGCCTGACGAAAAAGTCATCGAAAAGATATTCTTTGCTCATCAGTCAGTTTTTCAAAGTTGTAGATTTCCTCTATATTGAGTTGAACCTTAATGTCATCGTCCTGAAGGGCAGTGGTTCCTAATGAGTAGGAGAATTCGATGCTACTCGAAACATCATGACAAGCTCCCAGTCTTATTATTGTCACCTAGGTGGTTCGAGCAGATGTATTCTACACCCAACAATTGCGTTCAGTATACTCCTACAGATTTTTGGTACTCCTATAACTTATTTCCCCAAACCTTTCTCAATATGAATAGCCTGCTATTATCAAATATCCTGCGAATATTCCTTGTTCACATGTTAATTTTTGCTTTCATCGAGAAAAGATACATCTTTCGGTTTGCTTCCTGAAGGCTTTCACCAGCTGGCATAATTTCACCACCTAGATTATAGTGATAAGCAAATTTATCTCATGTGTTTTGTCTATACATTGAAATTTTGGTAGCAATTGGGCTCGGGACCAGTAGGTAAACTGAAAGACCAATATTCTGGACGAGGCTGTGGAAGTGTTTGATTATTAATGACTAAAACATACAGAATCATTACTTACTTTTTTTACTGTCCTTCTATGCTCTTGCACTTCCAGTTTTTTAATATTTAGGGAATTGCCTGATGACATGAAGCCCATGTCTTGGAAGGTATCACTAATATCCACCTGTATAATGCACTCATCAGGACTACATTCGGCAAGAGCATGAATGAGCAATCTTATGGTCAGAAAATATTATAAGAGTAGAAGGGTATCGACTATTATGTAAGACTGGTTCTGCGCAAATTCAAATGTTTGTATCCAACTCCCAAAATACTTGTTCTTCCCAAACCAAAAAAGGTTAATAAACAGTGGATCGATCGTCCGAAACAGGAGACATTTTTCGGGATCAGAAACATAGAGTGGTGATGAATACCTAACTAGCTAGGGATGGTGCACGAACCACCGAACGCAACACAACAGCATAACAAATGGTGGGGATGCTTGGCCTCATGCCTTTGGTTTAATAAGTTGGACTAGGCAGTGAGGTCTCACCCAATGGTGAGAAAAGAGTGCTGTATACAGACAACTCTTGGGAATTATCCACCACTGCAATAGCTATGGACGTTCCTGAACACCAAGACATGAGTTCTAGGAGGTCAATGAATTTATAAGAACTTGTTAAAGATGCGTTGAACCTAGGTGACGTATCGTGAGTGTGAAGAAGTACAGTGGTTTTTGGACTCCCAACATAGAAACAGAAGCAATTCTGTACTCGTAGTCATCCTTTACTTTACCTAAGTATAGAAGTGGGAATAATGAGGTGGTTATGAGAAGCGTCCGCACAACTCCTGTGAACTGAAAAGCCATCCAAAAAGAAAGAGGCGAGCATCAAGAAACTAACAGATTCGTTGAAACCTGCCAAAAATATATTGCAGTTAAGAGAAGCTTTTCCCAGGTGTCAAGGTCCAAGTTTCCTATTGGAGAAGGTGGATGCATGTAATTTGCTGAAAACTTATGATCTTAGGGGATGAACGTTTCTTGTTAGCACATAAAGTATAATTATATGATAATATACATATATATCCCATAACCCCTAACTTAATTGTTCTACGTAGACTGGAGAACGGTAAGCAACCCGAATGAGAACAATAGTATGATCGTCCAAAATACGAAGTTTATTTCTAAATCAGTAGTGTTGTGCTTAAGTAACAGCAAAAACAACCAAATGTAACATGACAACGTGCCGAAATGGCGTGAGTATATGACTGCGTACCTTCTGCCTAACCAGTCGACTTAAACAGTAAATATCAGCATCCCATGTTGAGTTGAGAAAGCTGTAGACTAGCGATTTTGAGGCATCGTGTAGCACTGCACGATCCCCATAAACACTTATACTCCCGGAATAGACACAGTACCATTAGTCTATTATCATTGACACATTGTCAACTCAAGGCTACCAAACCTGATTTCGACTTCGAAGGTCGGCGCTGTATTTGCCGCTGTTAAGCAGTTTTGTAATGTGGGTTCATGCTATCTTCTGACTGGCTTAATTTCGGTTTAGGAAGCACTACCTTCGATATTTACGAAACAACGACATTAAATCTCCCTTAGTTATCAATGAAGATATTGTGCGTTCAGTATATAGATTCGAACTACCAGCTTGTTCTGTCGGTGGCTGTCCGTAAGTCCAACAATGTAACACTGTACTTAACCATTTCATATTACTCTGACTAAGTACATACTTTCGTGGAATTTTATAATTTTTATTCAGATCTGTCTGAAACCACTATGGTAAGGTCATGTGCACGTAATTGAAACGGCCATTTCATTGACGAAGTATAAATCAATATCAGTATTAATTCGATCCCATGCTTAAGTAGGACCCCATTTAATAAGGAGTTCTCCTCTTGCAAACATGTTAGTTGAGTTAAAAATAGGGAAAATACTGTGATAACGAGTTTACTGAGCAATAATGTTAAATGTCGAAGAAACACTGTAAGCGTCGCTAACTATTAGCGCCTCAAGTGTAACTTGTCATAGAACTGTTTTTTGTAAGATTCAATGATTTGTGATATTTTCCCAATAATTGTCACTAAATTGTTAAGCTTTCCAATATCTTCACTAATAATAGTTGTGTTTAAGTGTGATCGAATATTGCCATAATGCTGAAACCTGAGGATGAGTGAAAGGAATGGTTGTATGGTAGTTGTTCCATACTGCGTTACAGTCATCTGTCTTTCTTAGCGACAAACTAGGTTTTCCTCCTAGGCTGCTTTAAATACTGATTGCCTTGATCGTATACGGCTGTTTATCGTTTATCTGTTTCAGAAACTGAATATGTTTTTGTTCCTTTAATTATTTTAATAAGTTCGAACAATATGTGAATATAGTTAGATGTGATTGACTTCCTCTCTTTTACGCAACCATACATTGTGAAGAAAAGTACAGCAGTTCTGTTTAAGTTCTTTTAATTTAAATATCTTGAGTCAGCGAATGCCATCTTTTGTGTGTCTCTACTGGGAACATGGATTTTACTTTTTTCAAATCAGTATACTTGTTTGCTTGTGGTTGAACTACCAACCATCTTAGTAAAAGATTTTCTGGTGCTGTATCACTAGGTCGTGTCTATTTCAGTTTAATTTAGAATTAATCCTAACAATCCGTTTTTCTTGACGTAACTTGTGGTTGCTTGTAAGCTGACTGACATGCTTTATGCTTTTAATTTTTGACAAAAATGTACTCACTACAGTGGTTGGTTCTCATTCATGCTTCGTCATAATCAGTTCTCAGCGCTAATTGATGCGGCTGCAATGGGTACTTTCTAGCTGCTGGTTAACTACTGTAGCTGAATGTCGAAATGTATGTCAATCATAAAAATATTGTTGATCTAAAGTCCTTTCGTATGATTGTTTCGGATTCACCATATAAACACTTTAAGAGGCATACTTGCCATTGTTATTGACAGTTGGGATAAAGTGGTAACGATATATCTGTCTGTCTGTTTTCGACATAGAACTTTGCACAAATGTGCGGAAGTTCAAGTCTCCACATTCCGTGTAGCACGCGAAGCAAGAGAAGAAAGTACAAGAAAAGCATAATAGAAACAGTGAGCAGAGGTGTGAGACAAAGGAGTAATAAAGAAATACAAAACAGTTTCATTGAAGATCATAAGTCACAAGGAGTGGATGCATCTGCGCCACTGAGAACGGTTTTGAGCCATGTCACCAATTGTTTCCAACCATAGATTTTTACCGTCCCGAGGACCCCAGCCTGGAAGTCTACACCTTTCTACGTGGCTTAGACCAACTGTTGTGGATTTCATTGACTGATGCCAAGTTTTTGTTTGACCGCCGCTAGCTTTTTTCCAGTCTGACCCTATATCCGCTAACATTGCTCGTCGAGGGAGGCGATGGCTTGGCATACGTAACACATGTCCTAACCATCTCAGTCTTTGTAGCTTCACGACTTCGTCGATTGATTTCCCCTGTTTACCTAGAACTCTACGCCTAACCTCCATGTTGCTCACCTTATTATGCCACTTTACACGGGAAATAGAGCGCAGGCACCTATGATCAAAGACAGCTAGCCAAGCTTTTCATGTCTTCCACTCTCAGTGGCCAGGTCTCACAACCATACAGGAGGACGGAGCGGACTGATGAGCAGTACACCCGCCCTTTGGTCGATAGTCGAACATCTTGTCTACGCCAGAGTCGGCGTAAACTAACAAATGCGAAACGAGCCCCTTGTATTCGTGCTGAGATTTCGTCAGAGATCAACCCGTTGGCGTTGGCTGATGGTACTTCCCAAATAAGTGAAGCGGTCAACGTTCTCTACCACTTCACTTCCTATTTTTAAACTAGGCGTCGATGTAGTCCAGTCCTGTAACATCATCAACGATATATATATATATATATATATATATATATATATATATATATATATAAATTCTCTGTTTTATGCAGCGGCTGAGTCAAGTACCTTCCTGATTCAACTAAGAATTGTTTTTAATTATATTTTGCCACTGTAAACACTTCCAGATAGTATTCATTGGAAACTGTAGTTTCGTTTTTGATGGAAATGATTGTCATATACTTAATATATAAGAAAGTCGTACTTCTTAACTGCTTGTGTTAACACTTGAGGAACAACAGATCAATGTGGAGTCATTAGCTTATACCATTTCCTTTTGTATTAAACAATTTTATTGAAATATATGGCTTCAGCTGAACATAGTTAAAGTGTTTAAACTTCCAGAACTACAAGTAGTATGGACATTTAATAACTGAAAGTGTTTCTGTGATGGGGGAATAGAAGTTATGAAGGAGCAGAGATACATCACGGGCTAGAAATAAGGGAATATTAGGTAAATCAAATGAACTGTAGTTAAGATTCGGACCAGATTGCCGAACGAAACGTTGGAATTACTCATTTCAATATCGCTGAGATTTTACAAATATAATTTTTTACAAAGGAATATTAGGTACTTGATAGGGATTTTTTCCACTTTTATTCCCTCTTTTTTCTGTTCATTTTTGTGTCAAACAAGAATAACGTACATTCACATCACTACTATTTTTTATACAGTAGGCCAGGTGCAAGAAGTCAAGTGGTACTGACAATAAATCTAGGGTGTTATTTGTGAAATGTTACTTTGGCTTTCATGAATCAGGTTTGGACTACATCTACGTCTCGATATATTTTTATGGGCTTTTTTTAGTCTCCTACTAATTTTTGTTTTATTAATAATATCTGCAGTCCACATTTATGCATGAAATGAACATTACTTAATCATGTCGACTTACAGTGTGGTAGCCTAGATTGTTATTCAGTAATTTCAGAACTAGTTTGTTTGATTCTGAAATACTTACAGATATCTATACCGCTTAGTACTCAACAGCTTTTTAGGGATAAACTTAGTTTTTCTAGAACAAAAGTTTATTTAGAATACCTAACTAACTTTCACTCTTTGTCTCGCAGGAATACGTGTAAATATTTGTCTTCCTGTCTAAATGGTCTACTTAAAATAAAAATATCTGATGATCTAATATGTAACGAGGGTGAAACGGATCCGACTGTTGAGCGGATACAAGTGGTAAGCCATATTTCACTTCAAGATTATATAACCGATATTTTCTTAATTCATTGTAAACTCAAGGTATTTGTTCAATTTATCATATCCAGAATTTATCTTCACCTTGACGAAAGTTTATGGTAGAAACAAATAGAACTTTGTTACCGTGAGGAGATTTATTTCAAATACCAGGTTACTAGTCACATTGTATGGTGGTTGATGACACTACCCAGTCGCCTAGACTGAAGTGAAGTGAGATTCGAACTTGAGACCCACTAACTGAAGGTCGATTATTAAGGCCATTGAACTACGTCTTTTCATAAAAGTTAGGAAGATTGTCAGGAGTAAACTATGTATTGTATGTATCTGCTGAATGGTCAGACAATTGTTTGATTGATTTGCATGTGTGTAAGACTTATTCAGTTAAGTCAGATTTTACACTATATTTTGTGCACTTCCCTAAACCACATAAACCGAGGTATCCCATTTTGTGAATATCAATTGTCTTCTCTGTGTGAGACTATGGCTTATTGGTTTACATACTGATCATCCAATCATCAGGATTTGACAACTTCTGACACCTGATGGTGTTTGGGCAGTAAGATAGCATTGTTGATTGCCTCCCCACGGAATACGTGTGATTCACTGCCAGCTGAGTGGATATGCTAGTAGTTGGTCAGTTAACATCATTATATCACTACTACTAATCTCATATGATTTATCAATTTTGCATTATACATAACCACATGCTCCAAATTTAACATTAATATCATTACAGATTACGTTGTAAATATTTCGCATTTTCAATTAATTGGCTGTAAATTTATATGGCGCCTTAAAAGTAGCTCGAATTTCGTTCGGAGTTTACATGACTAACCAAATAGTAATTGACTAATGAATAATTAGTGTACATTCTTTGTTATTCGTATAACTCAACTTATTATTACCTTACAAATTGTTATATTGTTTATAGTATGAGATTTTGCGCTTATGTAGAAACGTGTCCGTCTAGGAATATGTTATTTTTATCATGGTCATACTTTGTAACTGACTGACAAAACAACGTAGAACTTTGTTCATAGTTAATCTGTTGAAATAGCTGTTCTTCGAAAAAAAAATATGAAGGTACTTATGTCGATCAATCAGTAGCATATTGTCTCATTTATTCATGCTTGCTTTCTTGATTAACATTTATAGTATCAAGCAGATGGCATATTGTGATTTGAATAATTTCGGTTTTCAAAGAAATTTCATTGCGAACTGTGTTTAAATTGCAGATTTGATTTAAGGTGTTACCGGGTTGCTCAAGCAACTAGTCAGAAATCGGGTAGTTCAAACTGACTCCACTTCCTAAGCTGCGCCCAACAGAGTACACCTCTGATGAACTCCGCCCCATACGAAGGGCACAGCCGTCCAGTGTTTAGATTACTTCAATCTGGCTAGCAACCTTTGCTACTGGTTTTTGTTAGTGGCGTACAACTATTCATCTCGGTCAATAAGTAGTACATGGCTATCATGATTGCGTTGCACTGAGGTAAACTCTTACTTAAAAATCCCTTAGCTGATTCAGAGAATGACTGCGACAGTGTCATTTTACGTGACAGTAACATGTTAAACGGTCTACTGGACTCTGAGTGATAATTTTAGATTTACAAGATTGGCTTGATGTCTCTCGTTCATCACTGTGTCCGCTCGCATACTTTTTTTGCCTGTTTGTTTTCTGTAGTTTTGGTAGTGATGCGGTTTGAAACTTGATTGTTGTGTAGTATTAATGAAGTACAATTATTACAAAAGCTTCTTTTGCTTCCTTTCTAAAATCAAGCACAGTCGCAATGGTTTGAAAAATTATGGAAGTACGTGTTACTTGAATGCATTTTTGCAACTATATTTTCGTTTCAAGGAGTTACGAAAAACAATATACAATGTAGCTTCACAGGGTGAGTGATTTATTTATGCAATGGATGGTTCTCATAACTGGAACCTTTCATTCTGAATGATTATTTTTGTGTGTGTGTGTAAACATTCAATAAATATTTTACAGTATTTGAATTTCAGTCCAATATTTCTCTTGTGGTTTTACTTGAATTGTAATTTCACACAGTGATTTGTTATTAATTCTTAGTGTTCTACTGACCTAGAGAATTTATTTCCTTATACCCATTCATACCAAATATATTAGTGTGCGTCGGTAGTTCAGCAGAAGAATTCTTACCAACCACTCTACAAGGGGTGTGGAGTTCGGTCTCGGGCTGACGCACTCCTAAATCTCTCTTAGCTGGTAGTAATCCCGGTAAAAATAAAAGCTTAGGCTTGAGGCTACCAGTCCTACCCCGTAGAAAATGAAATCACTGCAAATAAAAATTCAAAGTCCAAGCTTGAAGCCTTATGCTGCACTCGGAAGGCAAAGGAATAAAGAAAATGCCGGATATATTAAAATAGGAAGGTCAATGAAAATAAAACAAGGTATTTAACAGTAGTAGATATTAGGGATTTCTCTCAATATATCTGAAAACCATAAATTTACCTCGGATCAGATAATGTTAGTAAGCAAAAAAATAACAACAAGCTTTTAATCTTGTTTCATAGTGATACATGATCTTCAGTATTAAAAAAGAAACATACTTGGCTCTTATGTGCAGATTAAGACAGCAGGGTGTGGTATACTAACTAATCTGTAGCATAAAGTTTGGATTCTATTCGGTATTTTCGAAGTTTGATTAGTTTAAAAATATATTTGTTATTGGGGATTATCACCAATGGAAAATTCACTCAAAACTAGCCCACGTTTAATACTTTGGAAATGATGTTTTTGTGGTTCACCCAACTCGGTTTCTTTTTCTTTCTTCAAATATTTACACTAGTAAATAACTAACTTCTTCGTTTTGCTATAAAAATTGTATGTGAATATCATAAACTAAATCATTTATATATATGAAAACATGAATTCATCATGAAGATTTGTAGGGATAAACTTCAGTTTATTTTAGTTTGCGTAAGCATAACTATTTAGCTTTTATGTTCAGTTTTAATCTACTGGAACTATATCTTGAAAATCCCCGTATGAAACTATATCTTGCAAAAGCATCTGATATTTACGATATGCTAGTCTTATACGAATGCATAAATCACTGGTATAAATTCTATTCACTTTAAGCCGTAGTCTAAGCGTTGATGTGAGCAAACTAGTAGCACCTGCTACTTCTTTGAAATATCAGAATGAGTTAAAAACAATGCTTGCCAGCAACCCCCCAAGTAGTATAGATGAACATTGGCTTCATGTGCAAGGTGCCATGCAAAAGGCGAGTGTAGCCGCTTGCGGCTTGAAAGAATGCTCCGCTAACAACCACTGGGTTTCTGCGAGTTCCTTGCAACTCATGGATGAACGCCGGTCCATTCCGGCTGGCAGCGAATACAACAATCAGCGAAAGGCGCTCACGCGCAAGATTAGACAGTGTTTACGTAAGGACCGCGAAGCCTGGTGGTCAGAACGTGCGTGTGAGATGGAGTCAGCTGCTGCATCTGGCAACAGTCGGAAGCTGTTCCAACTCATACGAGCCACCGGCAGCAAGAAACAAGGTGTCAGCGAGACGGTCTGTGAGGCAGATGGCACTCCAATTACCAGCCTGAAAAGACGCCTGGAACGCTGGGCAGAGCACTTCGGGAAGCAGTTCAGCTGGCCACCAGCTTCAGTGTCTACTATCATTAGCCCGAGTGCTCCTTGGTCGGTTAGTACCGACCCACCCACCGAAGCGGAGGTCCGTAAGGAACTCCAAGTTCTGAAACGCCATAAGGCGCCCGGCCCAGACAAATTACCCCCGGCTCTTTTTAAAGATGGTGGCGAGACTCTCACAATGGCTCTAACTGGGTTGTTCAGGAAGGTGTGGGAGACAGAGAGTGTACCATCAATGTGGAACGAAGCCATTATCGTCCCCATCTTTAAAAAGGGTCGACGTAATTCGTGTGACAATCATAGGGGTATCAGTCTGTTACCAGTCGCGTCTAAAATATTGGCTGCTGTCTTGCTTCGCAGACTGTGCAAAATACGTGAAGGATTGATTCGCGAAGAGCAGGCTGGGTTTCGTTCAGGTCGTGGATGCATTGATCAGGTGTTCACCCTTCGTCAGTTGTTGGAACACCGCCACACGTATTGCAGGCCAACGATCGTTGTGTTTCTTGATATTAGGGCTGCCTTCGATTCGTTGGACAGAACTGTGCTCTGGAACTGTCTGTTAGAGAGAGGTGTACCTGAGAAATTTGTTAACATCCTGAAAGCCCTATACAGAAACACCTCAGGTAGAGTGAGGGCATACAACCAACTATCACCACTGTTCCCAACCAACAGTGGGGTTAGACAGGGTTGCCCAATCTCTCCGTTTCTCTTTAACTTTGCCATCGATGACATTCTGGAGTCAGCTCTGAAGGATGTGCGTGAAGGTGGTGTAGATCTGCTACCTGGAGATAGACTTTTCGACCTCGAGTATGCAGACGATATCGTCTTACTGTGCGATAGCATGCAGGCTGCCCAAATCGCACTTAATCAGTTGGCGATCAGTGTCTGTAAGTATGGTATGTGCTTTGCGCCGTCTAAGTGCAAAGTACTGTTACAAGATTGGCAGGAGCCTGTACCTGCACTCACTCTTGCGGGTGAACCGCTTGAAGTTGTTGATAAGTTTGTGTACCTGGGTAGTTGTGTGAGTGCTGGCGGAGGGGTGACGGATGAGATTTCCAACCGTATAATGAAGGCTAGGGTGGCATACATCAACTTGAGCCACCTCTGGCGCCGTCGCGACGTTAGCCTGGCTGTCAAAGGTCGGGTATACAATGCTTCGGTGAGAGCTGTCCTGCTCTACGCCTGTGAAACCTGGCCTCTCCGAGCTGAGGATGTGCGGCGACTCTGCGTGTTCGATCACCGCTGTCTCCGCAGGATTGCTTGCGTTCGATGGCATCATCGCGTGAGTAATTCTGAGGTTCGGCGGCGTGTGTTTGAACAAAGTGGAGATCACTATTCATTGAATGTCGTCATCTGGAAACACCGGCTCCGGTGGCTTGGACATGTGCTCCGAATGTCACCCCAGAGGCTTCCGTACAGGTCTCTGTTCGCTAGCCCTGGGACGGGATGGAAAAGGCGGAGAGGTGGTCAGTCCATGACGTGGCGTCGTGGGATGAAGGATTTTTGTGCTAGATTAGCATCGGTTGGTGTGTCACGACTCCCTGGTTGGGGTCCGAGAGATAGCTCAAATCGATGGCTCGAAACGTTATCGGATATGGCCAAGAATCGTAATCAGTGGCGAATGTGTTGTGATTTCCTTCTTTCTTCCCTTCCCGATGATAGCTAACGAACACTGTTTGAACTTGTTAAGCATGACTGTTTTCCTTCCAGATGAAGTTCTTTATCCGTTCTCTACTTATATATATATTTTCTCTTCCTTCCTTCCTTTTTTTTGATCTATGTTGTTTTATTATTATTGTGTGGCGCATCTTTCTTGGTGCCATATTGTACCAAGTTTTTTATGCGTTTAAATAATAATAATAATAATATTCACTTTAACGTCATGCGGAGATGTAGTCTAATGGCTTAAACAACCAACTTTCAGACATTAGGTTCCAGATAAGATCCCCCACTCTGCATACTTTAGCCCAGTGAACTGGGTGGTAGTATTATCAACCCTGATAGTCTAGTATATTAATACACTACAATTACCTTATATAATATGTAAGATTTTACGTATATATTACAGTTAGAACATGTTTTGGCTGTGTAGACAACAAAAGTTGATAAAAGTAAAAAGTATCGTTAAAATACCCTAAGTGGTTAATTCCTAGTCTGTTTGTCGAACATTTTAAATATTCTAAATCAGGTGTATTCACCAATAGAATTTCTAAGATTGCGCAAATGAATTCACCAGAGGTATTTCGTTCTACTTCATGCTCAATGGTATTAGTAATATAATGCACACATCACAAGGTACTCGCTTCGTCGATGTATATACTAAAATTGTAACGATAAAGCAAAAAGATTGGCATGACCTCTGCTCAAAGATGATAAACAAAATCATCAAGAGTTCGTTGTTTTATATCCGTCTTTGGTTTAATGGTAGGCTACTCAGTCGACACGCACGTGGTCCAGGTTCGGTCCCCAACTGATTCAGTCCAAAACTTCGCATAGTTTACTAGCCCGTAGTAAGTTCAGAAGTGTGGCACAGCGGTGGAATGCTGGCCAACCACACATGTAGTTCAGGGTTTGAACCCCGGTCGACTCACTCCTTTGCCTCGCTAAACCAGTAATAAGACTGGTAATGAAGGGAGGTTGAGTATGAGGCTAGCAATCCCATCTGGTAAAAATAAGCACCACTGCTACTGAAACTCCGAAGCTCTAGCTTGAAGCTCTATGTTCCACTGGGAACGTAAAGAAATAAAATAAATAATAAGTAAGCTCGGAAAAAGGGGAGGTTGGTCGAGAGGCTAACAATCTCACCGCGTTGAAATAACACCACTGGTACTGGAACTTCAATGCTTGTAGTCCTATGTTCCGCTTGAAATGCAAGGAATGGAAAAATATATCCCGATTTTGCTCTTATTAGTGTTTCATGTATGTTTTATTTATGTACTAACTCGCTTTGGTTGTTAAACTATAGGGATTAGTGATATAGGTATAAAACGTGGCACTGTGGTCGAGTGTAACTCCATTATGGATAAAATTTTATCTTGATAAATTACACGGTGTTAATATTTCTATGTAACACCGTGTGATTTATCTAAATAAAATCTTATCCATAATTCAGTTAGTGATTAATAAATTACTAAATTTAGATCACTCAAACGCGTAGCGTATTATTATTGCTATTATTATTATTATTATTATTATTATTATTATTATTATTATTATTATGGATATCAATCGCGTATTATTAGTCGCATAATATGAAATCCACAAATAGTTACCTTTAGCTTTACGGATTGAATTGTTGTATATCAGCTCGATTTTCATTTTTCCGCACTACATACCAACCTAACCTCGCCTAGTTTACTAGCTCGCTAGTGTTCTAGCCGGTCCTAAGCCCGGGTAAAGAAGGAGGGTTGGGGGTTGGGTTAGCGACCCTACACCACAAGACCAATCAAGTTGGTACATAAACTTCAACGCACAAAAAATATATTAAAAATACAAAAAATATAAAACACAAACTTATTCTTCTCTGGAATCGGAGAAATAATTCCCTGCAACACTAGGGCGTACAGTGCGCAAATCTTTATCAAGCTCGTTCAACAGCTATATGACAATGCCATGTGTCAGATGATCCCCAACGGAAAACTCAGCGAGGCGTTGTAAGTCAATACTTGAGTAAGACAAGCCTGGCTGCATATTATCACCCATGATATTCCTAATTGCAGTAGACTGGATTATGCGTTAGACTGTAGGGAGCGAGGAGACAAGAACACTCTGCACCAGATTATATACGTCTAGTGTCACACAGACTCGAAGACTTACAGGCGAAAACCAACAAGAACAACAACCAGCACTAATCACTATCAACGGGGGAGATTTGACAGAGTTTACTTCCTTCACTTATCTAGGAAGTATGAATTCAGCCACAGGTTTAACGGATGAAATTACCAAAGTCAATCAGAATTGAAAGTGCAAGATACGCCTTCATCAACCTGAAACCAGTTTGGAAATCTTCTGTACTCCGCAGCATAGAGAAAAAGATTTGGATTTGCAACACGAATGTCAAGTCAGTCAGTTCTTCTATACGGGTCAGAAACTTGCACTACGTGTATGTTGCGAAAAGGATTTCTAACAGGTTGAAGACTTTTATCAACAGTAGCCCTATTCGCTGGCATCATACTGAATATCAAATGGCAGGCCGGCCAGAAAGAATTAGCTACAAGAAACTCTGGTTGGCAACAAACCAACCAATAGCCGATCGCTCAACAAGTATGTGGGAGAAAATGAAGATGAGTCGAGCACAAGTCAAGAAGGCCATCGAATGACATCGCGCGTCAGGCCAACGCCCGAGTGGAATTGTAATGGAAAGAAACGAGTGGGTCGTCAGTGCGAGGGTGACATATAGAGGCAATGGTATGTTGGGGGGGGGGGAAGAGATGAGATATTATAGTCAGTTGTGGACCCAGGTGATGACGACAGGAAATATAAGAAAGGGGAGGTGTGTTGTTGAAGCCCTATGTTCCGCTTGGAACCCGAAGGAACAATAATAATGTACCAACCAGACCTTTTACGCTGGGTTGCATACAAAAACAAGGATTGTGCTACTTAGAATCAAATATAAGTAGTACATAAGTAAACGTGTCCAGAAAAGCAACAATATGTTTTGGGCACTGAAAAAAACGATCAAACAAGAGAACTGTAACAAGAATGTTAGAGCACTGTGCAGAATCCAACAAGCTATCGAATGTGGTGATATTCGACCAATTTGTAAGTGATGTGCAAATAAAGACTTAAAGATAAGGTATACCAAATTCATGTACCTACAATACGTTTGTCCCAATAAACATCCCCCTCAAACCTCATCGGTCTTTTCTTCTTTACAGTAGTAATAGAAGTGATGATATTGTATCACCAGAATAACCGAAATTCAGACACCCCATCAAACAGAGATTAATAGCAGTGTAGTATTAAAAGAATTGTGTGTAAACCCAGAATGTTGCGTCGGTGGCACAGCGGTTATGACTCTCGGCGACCATGCACATAGTTCGGGATTCGACCCCCTGCCGACGCACACCTGATATCAATGGTTGGCCTGCAAAATTTGGGCTTCGGATATCATATTCAGAAAATTCCATACTTGTACCAAAAATACGGTGTGAAATCAAGCTATAATCAAAAAATATATATAAATATATTCATCAGGCAAATGTGCAAACATACAGAACCTACAAAAGTAGAATTAAACATTGTCATTTAAGTGGGAACAATCATCACATGCATGTGGTATACTAGATTAGAAGCCAAATAGACTAGCTCAAATAATTAATTGTATCACGAACACATTAGACGTAAAAATGTAAGAATATTTACAAATCAACACATTCATTTTGAATTTATTTTATATAATCATATTATTTTATTCAATACAGTCCTATAGAAGGTCAATCTCGTGCCTGAATAACTCAGTGGTAGCGTCTCTAACTGTAGCACTGGGTGACGCGGATTCGAATCTCAGAAGGGAAACGAGTTCCTGCAAGGTTCCAGACACGTCTTACTGATTGGTGAGTGCCAAGCAGCACGAAACCTTGGTCAGGTGTGGCTTCTTGACAATTGCCTCCAACGATTTAATATCAACAGTTCACAGTACATCGTGATGGTGAATCACCTGGCATGGTGGCCACATTGCAAACTTGACTGATAGAATTCAGTCTGCACCAAAGACTGGACTAGACATATTATACACTAGTTACTGACTATTTTCCAATCAGGAATATTCAAGTAACCTTTATTTTTCTGTGTATTTTATTTCCGTTTCTTTGCAGCTGATGAAACCGGCATAATACATCAATTACAACTGATATTTAGTCAGCTTCAATTAAGCAAATCAGGGTAATTCTTTAAAATTATCTGTTTTATGTATGATTGGTGTGTTTTCCTAAAGACGAAAATTCCCTATTACGCTTTGTGTGTTTTTATTCAAGTTCATTTTTAATCATGAGTGTTAATACAGCATTTTATACTACTATTATAGGTTACTGCGTTTATTTAGACGTCTAACTGTACTCGTGATATTCGCTCTATATACAATTAGATTGTGGGTGATCATACAGCATATCTCAATAAATACACTAATTCGAATGACTACCAGTAAGATTATTAGTCATATGTGCTACTACAATGAAACACTGAAGAAATAATTTTAGATATTTAACTCGGAAATCTGCTGTCTAGATATGAATATCACACAACATGTACTATTGTGGTGAGAGCAGGGTGCTAGCCAAAAGTGGTAGACATTAATTTACGTCAATGTTTATGTCCCAAATATTGGTCGTGAGGAAATATCAACAAAGACTGATTCAACAAACAACCACAGCAGACTTTGCGTAGGCGGATACAGTTCACATATAGATGATGTGACATTCCGAAGACAGTCACAAAGAGATGCAAGGTTAACTTTCTGTAAGAAACAACCAATCGTAAGACTGTAATATGTACATGAAAATCTAAAAATATGTGTTGATTTCCTTAATAAACGATCTGTTGCCTGGCCCTTGTGTTCTGTTGTTACATTATTACAAACTAACAAGAATTGTACGTTGAAATTGGTGAATTTAGGGCTATGCTTTAACATCACTTGTCTATGATTTACTCAAAATTATCCACAAATACTTTGTAATCACATGCACTTTTTTAAAAGGAAAAGTGGTGGTTTTAACAATCTATTGCCCTGGATTTTTCTAAGACAAAATAGTAGAAAAACAACAAGGAATTTGTGTATTTTTCAGTTTAAACAAACGATGTACTATTGGCCATTATTTTGTTTATAATTTGTTTACTGTTAAATGTTAAGATTCAGATACAGTGGAAAAAGGTAAATGTAGCTTGGTTACAGGATTTCGTCATGAGCTGACATCGGTTAGAGAACCAGTGGGAAACCTGGAAATACTGGACAGCCGTTCCATCCTAGTTCGGGACTCTTCATCAGTACGTACCCGTCGAGGTTCGCACCCAGATCCCTCTGGTTACAAGGTGAGCTCATAGACCAATAAGCCACTGGGACATTATCCAATGGCCCATGAATTCCAGCTTCTGCCATTTGACGACATAGCGCGACCACTAGCCAATGTCTTCGGCGAGTAAATAAAGTATAATTGTATTTCAGCGGTCTACACACAATGACAAGTTTTGTTATTGGTAATATTTCGAGCAAAATTACTGCCCTTGTTCACACCACTGTTGGAATTGTTTTGTTTTTTAATTCACACATTTATGACTTGTACCTATATATAGAGTTCATTTTTTTGTTCATTCATTTTTGTGTATTCAGAATTATATTCCAGGTTGTTGACAATTGTACTGAGTCACCCTTGTTTGTCCTCACTCCCGACCTGCTGTACCCTACTGGTCACTGCAGTCCCTCACTCCCAGGTTTTCTATTGGTTCTCTAACCAATGTCAGTTTGTGATGAAATCCTGTAATCAATCAGTCAAATCCCTACAAACCAATGCTTAAACATAGATTCCTTGCCTATTGGTGTTAGTCAGCAAGAAATATCCATAGCTTTAAAAAAAAATCTGTACTTTTCCTCGTATACTTACACTCTTCTGTATGACTTAAAATTTTTCTGTTAGTATTTATCATGGGTTCGAAGATTATCTTGTTGATTCATGCATCTATCACAAAATAAATGACTGACGATTAGTTGCATAACAATTCTTGTCAACCATTATCAGAGAGAGCAATAGCTGTAAACAAATTCATACACTGAAATTGTACACTAAAACATTATGGAGCAGCTAGTCACCAGTGTTTCTTTGTCATTAGCTATTTAGTAGGAGAAAGTACATTATATTCTACTGTTTAATATATTTAAATTTTTCCATTATAAATAACATCACATTTTTAATTCCGTTTTTCACTAATTATGTATACCTGTGGCATTTGCTACTGATAAGATTTTATCAGTAGTATATAAAGAGGCGTTCATCGACATAAAAATATCAAATATTAGGAGGATAGATTCGATGTCAGAGAAAGCAAATGATACTGCGTTGCGAATATACATGGGAAATGTGAAAGGAACCCACAAAAAAACAATGCGTCGGTGGCACGGCGTTTAGGACGCTCGCCGACCATTCACATGGTCCGAGGTTCGATCCCCTGCAGACGCACACCTGGTATCAATAGTCGGCCTGGGAAATTTGGACTACCGATATCACATACTGAAAATTCTATAGTTATACGAAAATACTGTATGGAATCAAGCTATAATTAAAAAAAATATAAAGGCCTGAAGTAGCACAAAACGAAAGATCTGTGCAAATGGTGATTTAAAGATAAGGTGTACTATAATTTCGCTATATGGAGGTACCAGACTGCAAATAAACATTCATTTACCAAGTCTGTCATCTTCTAACGTTACATACATAGTATATTTTCTATCTGACGCTCAGTAGTCAATTAATACTAACTTTTTGTGGTATTATTTTAGAGTGGTCGATCCCGGTGGTTTAATTGAAGCATTACGATTATGCAATACAGAACAACAAGTAAGAGTTTATTTCTAGTGATTACGACTTTTCTTTATCTTATATGTGTAATTTTTATTCACCTAAGGCTCTTAAAAACTAGAAGTTAATTGTTGGATGGTGAATAGCAGTGGAATCCAGGCTACTCATCTCTCACTCATATTATTATTTCTGAATGTACATTATCTCATATTGATTTTTAATCCAATATCTAATCGATTCCACACATGTATATAAATGAAGGAAAACGTTGTGTGAGTAACTTGATATGATTATGAGCAATAGTTTGTGCTCGAAACGTCATCAGTTCATATAACTGTACAACACTGTGTGATTTATCAAAATAAAATCTTATCCATAATGGAGTTATACTCTACCACAGTGCCCCAGTTTTATACTTATATCAATACCACTCATTTCTTCCTTTTTGGGACTCGTCATCTGGATGCACCTGCATTCCTCAGTGAGTGATGTTTCCACCGAGGCTCGAATCCAGCGCCCATAGTTTCAAACGCCATAGCGTTATCCACTAGACCACTTGGGCCACGAGAGCTACCTCTCGTACAACGAGTAATATTAATTATTTAATTCAATTTAGGATTTTCCCATCGATTGATTGGACCGAAGTGCTCGGTCTCAGGTTGACATGTTGGCTTCTTAAAAACTTTTTATCACAAACAATGTCTTATTATCTCCTAGGATCTCATAGTAGAATAATTTTATTTCGTGAAACACAGTGATTTAAGCCTATTCAAGAACTGGCACGAAATCATGCTCCTGTCCACTCAAAACTAAATATTAAGCCGCATCGTTCTGGAGTGACTAGAAGATACCTTGGGTGTGAAACTTCACTGAGAACATTCTAGATTCAGGGAAAAACAAGTCATATACGGATCACATCTCAAGATTGCACATTATCATTGAGCAGGGCATAGGAATGATAATCAACTCTCAACTTCATCGACTTTAAAACGGCCTTCAAAAACATAGACCATGAAGGTGTTTGTCAATTGCTTTACCGATACAAAGTGAAGTGCCGCAAACATTTACAAGACTCATTCAGCAAGTATATAATGATGCTAAATGCCAAGTAATAGCAGAAGACTCACGAAAGCATTTGAAGTAAAGACACGAATGAGAAAACATTACCTTCTCTCATCAATGACCTTTCCGGTTGTTGTGAGCTAGATCATGCAATGGACTGTGTGGGAATGAGATGAGTATACGTTGGACTGACCCTAGAAGATATAAATCTCGTGTATAATTTATGTCTTATGTCACACCAACATAGAGATACACAAGCGTAAGCCAAGAAATCGGTAAGAAAGATGGAAGACTGGACTTCAGGTGTACATAGATAAGACAGAGTTGATGAAGATATGCAACAAACAAAAACAAACACCAGCCGCCATTAACGAAAGGAATCTAAATGAAATCGTCTTATGATTTATCTGGGCATCTTTGTTCCAATTACAGGGAGCACAAATAAGGATGTCAAAGTCAACCAGGATCGGGAAAGTATGACAGGCGCTCATCACTCTGAAATCAGTGTGGAGATCTGCAGCACTTAGCACGAAGACAAAGATTTGAATCTACCACATTTATTTCAGTGCTTCTACATGGTTCATAGACTTGGCTTAGACGTCACGGAGAGCATTTTCAACAGCTTGTTGCAGAGTTTCATCAAAAGGTGCTTTCGCTGGCTTTATACTCAATATCAAATGACTGACCAGATACGATAAGCAATAAGGAAGTCTGCCAACAAATCAACCAACCAGCCTATTGCTCAAAAATATACAGAAGGAAGTGAGGATAGATTTTGACATACTCTGAGGAGAAATTCAGTTGACATCACACGCAAAGCAGGTCATCGAGTGAAACCTGATTGGGAAGTGATAGGCTAAGTGTCCGAGAGTGACATAGGGGAAGGAGATCATATGAAAATGAAATGAGAGCTTGTCGATAGTCTTGGGATTAGCTGCAAGGGATGCGAGAAAACCGAGTGCAACGGAGACATGTTACAGGGGCTCTGTGTTCCACTCGGAAGGAAGCAGCAATGTATTGCTCTTATCCATATCACTGTATTTGACCAATCAAATGGTTCTGTGATGGAATTACCCACCACCACAGTACCGAAATTCTTTTGTATATATCAATCCCTAATGACTGTTCAACTTCTAAATTGTTGATTTACTTTATTTAGGATGCTCCGGAATTTCATTGTTTATTTATGAATTTATTGGAGGCACGTTTTCAACAAGTCGGTGTATCTGTTATTGACAATTTAATTAGAGGAGAGTATATTTATGAAACAATGTAAGTGTGGGTTGTTTTTTACTGTCTATAGAATTATAACATTTTTAAGAAGTAGTAATCTATTGATATAAATCATTTTCAAGTCAGTAAAATTGACTATCAATGTTCTAATCACAGTTAACATCTGGTGTACTTTACTTCTTAACATTTTCGTCCACGATAGTAGTCATGTATAAAAATTACAATAATGTTTTTCTCTAAACTATTTTTAAGTATTTAGACCGAAGGTGGTATTTAAACTTAACTTATTAGTGAATTAGTGTTTTAAAAAAGAGTGTCGATATAATCGATCTTTCTTATGTAAAATTGTTACAGCTGTTAATGTTAACCTAATGAAAAATGTGTCACTAAGATCTAAGAAGAGATGGGAGAAATGTTTGTTTCATTTTATTCACCCACTTCCAGTTATTTTAGAAATTCAAGAATATGTTTTATGTCTATTGATAGTATCAACCCACGAGTATGAAATATGATTCAGGTCACATCTGTAATATAGGATATAGCATCAATCCATAAAATCTTCACCTGTTGGTTTGAGTTACAGAAGGGGAGGGCGTGTAGACTGCTTGATTGGGATCCTCGAGACATTGATAATCAATGAGTGGAAGACTGTGCTGATGATACTGCTCGAAATCGTTCTCAGTAGTGGTATAAATACATTCATTCTTTGTAACTACCTAGATGCATTAAATCCTCACGCTTCTCTATGTAATCATTCTTTATGCTGTACATTTTCGTTTACTATATATCTCTTTTTGGTAACTGCTGCAGTTTTGTACAAAGTTATACGTTGAAAATCTGGCAGTCAGATCGCCTTTTGGTGATGATATCTAATAGGGGGGGGGGCTTTTTAACACGAACTGACTTTTTGCACATTTGCTATGATTTTTTTTTATTCCTTTACATTCAAAGTGGAACATAGAGCTTCAAGCTAGAGCTTCGAAGTTTCAGTAGCAGTGGTGTTTATTTTTACGGGATGGGGTTGCTAGCCTTATGCCCAACCTTCCTTCTTTACCAGTCTTATTACTGGTTTAGCGAGGCAAAGGAGTGAGTCGGCCGGGGATCAAACCCCGAACCACATGCGTGGTCGGCAAACATTCTACCGCTGTGCTGCCACCGACGCACTATGATTGCATCTCAAATATCCTATGAAATGACATTGTGGTATATATATATATATCTTAAGTGGATTTATGATTAGAGACTGTTCTGTTCAGTTTTATACATGTTGGTTGGGAGCTTTATTCTTAGGCATTAAAGCAAGATTTCTCAGTCAATGAGGCTATTCAATTTCTATATTGTTCAGTTTATGAGGAGCAATATGCGTTATTCGGCAACAACAACAACTCTACTGCGTTTATTGTTTCTGAGTATTTACCAACTTTCAGGTGTCAGAATACTCTTTATCATATCAACACATCATAGAATTTGATACACAAGAGTCTTTTAAAACCCTACTTTCTATGCGTCAAATACTTTTCGTTTTCGAGTGTTGGGTTGTAGGAATTTGATTGGTTACAGGATTTCATCATGAGCTAACACTAGTTAGAGAACCATTGGAAAACCTGGGAGTACTGGACGAGGTTATAAAGTTACATAGACTGAGATGGCTAGGTCACGTGGTGCGCATGCCTAACCACCGCCTCCCCCGACGGGCATTGTTAGCTGATATAGGTTCAGGTTGGAAAAGAGCCAGTGGTGGCCAAACAAAAACGTGGCATCAATCCATGAAATCCTTGACAGTTAAACTGAGTCAGGTAGGGAGATTCAGACTTCCGGGTTGGGGCCCTCGGGACTCTAGGAATCAATGGCTGGAGACAATAGGTGACATGGCTCAAAATCGTTGTCACTGGCCAGCGCAGATGTATTCAATCTCTGTAATCTTTCATATTCCTTTCTACCATTACCCATTCTGTTTCACTCTTATACTTGTCAAACTCTATTGATTCTCTTCACTCATCTTCTTGTCTACCTTTGTGTGCTATTTGGAACGTGGCAACTCGAAGTGCTGCACTTCGGTGCCAAGTTCTATGTTGAATCCAGACAGACAGACTGGACAGCTACTTCGTCCTAGTTTTGGACTCTTCAGCAGTACGCAGTTTGCTAAATGAACATTGCCACTGAATGGCATTACTTGCTAACTTTTCCTATCTGCTTTTTATCCTCTATGATTTCTTTGGCATATATATTTTTGTATGTAATACCGTTTGATCCTTCAGCTGATACTTTTGTGGGTTATAATGGGAGAGTACATTACAAGCCTAAGTGAATATGTCTCTGTTTGACGGAAATTGGTTAGACTTTTAGCTTTGTCGATAAATATGATACGAAGGTCATATTCACTGCTTGCTCCAGAAAATTTGTTTAATCAATCGAGGGTGTGAGACGTGTGATTGAGTCAATCAAAAGACATAGGATGATGAATAAATTAGTATTTAGACACATTTATTTCAATGTATTTGAATCGGATAGCAACAATCCGTCTACCTCCAGTCGTTTATTCCACCCATACAACAGTGGACGGGGGGGGGAGAGATATGATCACTATGAATTGTTTTTAAGCCCAATTCTTTTTGTACCTTATTTTTGTTTTAAGTATTCTGTGGACTATCTACTGATTGTATATTTGATTTTTTGTTGTTGTTGAATGTTTATCAACACCTATTTCTAGTTGTTCAACATGCGGCTTCACTTCCCGATTACCTTCAAAATTTCTGGAATTATCCTTGAAAGTCTCATCGAAGTCGCTACCAGATTGCATTAAAGATTATCTAAAGGTGATTATTTTTTGAAAAATATTTAAAATCCAACTTGTTTTTGTAAAGAGTTGTTTTCTTTGATATTATTTGATTTGAATTGATCCAAAATGTCCATAAGAAATTTCAAAAGAATGAACAAAGAATATTTGTTTCGATAACTTCTTCATCAGGTCCGACTGTTTTATATCTCCATAATAATGAAAGAATTAGAATTATTAACAGCATTAATGTTTAAATAGCATTGAACCAATAATGCTAACAATGGATTATGGTTCTTTTGATTGGACACTAGTGTTAGTAACTGGTGTAAGGTGTCTAGTCCTACCCTTGACGCAGACTGAATTCTGTCACTTCGATAGTACCTATAAGCATAATAATATGCATCATCATAACACTTCACTGAGTATCTGCGGAACCAAGCACAAAAATCAAGTTCCTAGAGCAATCCCCAGTATAACTTGCTTCACAAGCGCAGATGAATTAGTAGATACGGTTGGAGGTGGCTAGTCTACGTACTTCATCTTTCAATTGATAAGTGTAAATAAAGGTATGGTGAAAAACGCAAACAGCTCAATATTAGGCGACCCTCCACAAAGTTAGCATTGAAGAATCCTTCTCCACTATTTATCAGGTATTTGATAAATGGCTGAAAACATCCAGATATCGAAGACTTAAAATAGCAGAGGTTATTGCAATTCGTCCGAAACAACTGGTGCTCTGTGTATAGAAGAAACAGGTCCAACCACCACTACTACTACTACTCTGGCCTTCTGTCGAGCCTATTAATTCATGAATTCTGTATTATTATTTCTTTTCCTAATTTGTCTGATATTCGTTGTAGGGTTATGTTGATGCATATTATCACTCATACAAATGCTATTGAACTGTAATTCATTGATATTATTATTGGTTCAATATTATTGAAGCATTAGTGTTGTTAATAACCCTAATTCTTTCATTATTATGAATATATAAAACAATGGAACCTGATGAAGTTATCGAAAAGAATATTCATTATTTGATTTGTGAAGTATTCAGTCTTTCGTTTAAAGTTTATTTGTGTTACTATTTGCATTATCATGACGATCAAATATTGACCTAAGTTTCCAGTACTTACATATACTGGGCATTTATTAATTCATTTTATGAGATATTGGGAATATCTCATAAAAATGTCGATAATTCAGTCAAAGGTTTTAACTTTTCAGGTTAGATCATGTTAGGTATTATCAGTGTTGAACAAAGAGGTCATCTTAATATATGGAACATCGTTTAACCCATGAAATGTTAACAGGCATTGTTTTGTTATCCTATGCTCAAACAGGAGAAGGAAAATTTGAAATAATCCAATACTTATCGATAACTGGAATTAAAAAAAAACTCATCGACTGCTTTGCTTGTTATGTGCTTAATACGTTGAGCATATTAACATCAGCATTGTAGACGCATGACTTAGGTGAATGTGAAGCGGGATTCGGGATCGTCACCCCGTGGGGTGGTTGGATGTCAAGTAACTAACCAATGAACGGAAACAAGAAGCAACGTATTATTGATATAAGTATAAAACTTGGTCACTGTGGTAAAGTATAACTCCACTATGGATGAGATTTTATTTTGATAAATCACACAGTGTTGTTCAGTAATATTAACCGATGACCACCTTTCGGTCACAAACTATTGCCACTCATAATCATATCAAGTTACTCACACAACTGTTTTACTTCATTTATATACATGTGTGGAATTGACTAGATATTTAAATAAAAATCAGTGTAGGATAATGTGCATTCAGAAATAATAATATGAGTGTTATTGATCAATTACAATCAGATGGGAAATAAGACGAGTGTTTTTATAGTCATGATAAGTTACTTGTTAGAATGTTGTGATGTGTTTGAATTGAAATAGAATTTTAAGATTATTTATTATACTCCCCTGATTTGACTGGTGTCAATAATACGGAATCCTTGTTCATCGAGTCTACATCCAACACATGCAACAGAAATCACTTGATGCAAATACCAGAAATATGGAAGATATTATTACCTCAAGTCGAATCAGAAGAGGATAATAAATAATCTTAAAATTCTATTTCAATTCAAACACATCACAACATTCTAACAAGTAACTTATCATGACTATAAAAACACTCATATTATTATTTCTGAGTGTACATTATCTCATATTGATTTTTAATCCAATATCTAATCGATTCCACACATGTATATAAATGAAGGAAAAAGTTGTGTGAGTAACTTGTTATGATTATGAGTGGCAATAGTTTGTGCTCGAAACGTCATCAGTTCATATAACTGTACAACACTGTGTGATTTATCAAAATAAAATCTTATCCATAATGAAAAAGCAACGTACTAGTGACAATATTGATTTTCGATCTCTTTTGTTGTTGTTGCCTTTTCAAGAAGTATATTTCGTTATTTATTTTCTTCTACAGGAAGAATACTTGATTGGAGATAATCAATACGCTTGTCCTCAATGTGATTGTAAACGAGATGGTGTTCGAAGAGCATATATAACACGTGCTCCACCTCTGTTATGCATCCAGCTACTTCGGTTTACTTATGATTCAAAAACAGGTCAACGCAAAAAGTACAAGGCTTCTATTCGTCTACCTGATCTACTTGAACTAACAAGAGTTATCGATGACAAGAAAACGAATAAACAATCAAGTTCTGAACATTCTGTGGAGTGTTTAAGTACAGATTCAGGTATTACTATATCAATGAATATGAATCACAATCTATTATATTGCACAATAAATGTTTAATAAGGTTTTTATACTTCATGTGTAAATGATGTTGTTCTTTTTCTTCTCTAAAATATCACACATTATTCTTACACAAACTTTTTTCTATAAAATCACAGTACCTATTTTAATAGTGTTCATGTCTTCATTTAAATCACAACTGATTATATCATAAGGAACAATTATCGCAAAGGAAGGATATGTGTGGATTGCTCTTTATGCCTATTGACAGAATTTGTATTGTCACATTGGAATAGTATTTTTCAGAATTTTTGTTTGATTCACTAATGATTATTGTTCAGTGCATAGTGTTTCGTCAAATCTGTCCTTTGTTTATCGATCCTAGATGATTGAGATCAATATTTGCGTTTTTTTATTCATAATTTTCTGACTGATGTATCTTAAGTGCACTGCCCGAGAAAATATTGTGATTATCATGTTGAAATGCATGTTACTGTTCCTATATAGCTTATACTGCGTTGGATGTGTGGTGCATAAATTACGAATACCATAACCTATGCAGGGGATGTTACCGCTTTTCAACTGACCAGTAGAATGCGTTTTATACATTCACAGAGATCGAGTATAAGTTTGTATATGACTATTATTATTTTATTCCTTAGTGTTCCTAGTGAAATATATGACTTCAAGCTTTGAGCTCTGAAGTTTTAGTAGCAGTGTTGTTATTTTTTACGGGATGGAGTTGTTAGCCCCACTGCGACTTTCCCTGCTTACCGGGTTTATTACCTTCTGGGGTTTAGGAGTGCGTTGTTTGGGAACGACCACCGTTCAGGCCACTTGCGGTAAGGTTGGTGAGCATTCCACCGATGCACAACCGAGATTAGGGCTTTGTCCACTTGGACCACCGGGGTTCAGACCCAGTACCTTCTGGTTACAAGCCGAACTCGTAGACCATTCAGCTACTGGGACTGTTCAATCTTCAGAAAGAAGACAAAGCAATAAGTTCGACAAGGTGCTTCAACTGAACTCTAATCCTAAACACTTTAATTTTGAAAATATGTCTGATCATAAAATTCCAGATACTAACAGTTTGAACAGACATGAAGGTGTAATGTTAGCTGATGCATAGCAAATCCTGATTAATAAATAAAAATGGATATGTATCACTAATTAATAATTAATAATAATAATGATGATTAAATCCTCCATGTAATAATACTTGGTCAAAATTCCCGATTGTCTATATCTTCTTATAGAGACGTTAGCAAATATTTTACAACTGTTTACCCACACATACACACTGTTTAAAGTGTTTAACAAAGGTAGACCAATATTTGTAAGTCCGAGGTCAAATTTTGATCACAGGTCATACACAATTTTGTTTATTATGCTTGTTGATACTTGTTTTATGACTCATGATTGGACAAAGCTTAAAAAACAAGATATGCTCCTTTTAATATATAGAAGACCTCTGTTATAAGTTTCCAGACCGTAGGTGTTACGAACTTCCTGGAATAATTTGAGGGCCAACTCAGATTGATTCATTATAAATCACTTAGAGTAATCCCAGTGTGTTAAGAAAATCAAAACAAGATTTTTTCTGAACGTTTCGCTGTGTAAGTCACAGATTCTTCAGCAGATTTATTCGGATTTTTATTAATCATCAAAATATATAGTCAAAGATTTTTACATAAATTGAAGTCAGTTTATTTGAAGGTCATTTGTCCATGGTCATTTTTACCAGTAGAAATATGTAAGCAGTCATCACATATATTTGTAATGACTAATGTCAAATTGTTGCTGTGTTCACTCTTCTATAGTTGATTTGTAAAGATTAGTTTTGTATGAGTGTGTGTGTATGTATGCTATTTGTCATATGGGAAATACGCGAATTCATATGCGATAAACATGATACTACATATTTTAAAAGGTCATGGAGACTCATAGAGTGTTTGTTGTTTTTTCATCTGTCTTGCTTCACAAATAAATCTGCTGAAGAAGCTGTAGCTTACACAGAGGAACGTTCAAAAAAATCTTGTTTTGATTTTCTTAACACGTTGGGATTAATTTTCTGTTATGTCAATTTCGATTAATTTCCCTGAAGAAGTTCGGACCAGATTGCCGAACGAAATGTTGGAATTACTGATTTCAATTTGGCTGAGATTTTACAAACATAATTTTTTACTGGGACTGTTATCAAGCCCATTTCTGGAGAGTCTTTATTAAGACAATGCAAATACGACAAAAATGTTTTAATAGGGGGTTCATCAATGGGCACACTAATATTGAGTTATATCACTCAATTACTTATTAGTTCATTTAATAGAAATGATTTATGCATGGATGGTTTGCTTTCACATCGTAGATTGCTCGTGTCCATTCATGTTTCAGCTTTATAATTTGCAATCTCTTAAATTAGTTAATATGTGTTAATCACTTTATCTTGTATTGTTTTGATTTTAGGAATATATGAGCTCTATCTTAGTATTTATGATTTAAGAATGTTAAGACAATTAGTCCCTTTGATAAATTTGAATAAGGCATTAAGAAGACAAATTTCGCGAGATGATATCGTCATTTCGTAGTTTCTTTACAACCGCTTTACAACTAACATGGTTAACAATAATAAAATAAAGATCATGACAATTACTCACATAACTCTAATTCAAGGTTATTGAAGGTGATGGAAGCACTTTGGATTAATCACGTACAGCCTTAACTGTGTTTACAAAAAACAATAGACTTCAATCTTCGTCTACTATGGACAACATGACCTATCTAAATATGATTGGTCATTAGTATGTACTTATGTTTTTTATTTAACTGAGTAATTGTCATGATCTTTATTTTATTATTGTTAACCATGTTAGTTGTAAAGCGGTTGTAAAGAAACTACGAAATGATATCATCTCGCGAAATTTGTCTTCTTAATGCCTTATTCAGATTTAAGAATTTATTTTTTTATTTTTGATTACAGCTTGATTCCACACCATATTTTTGCTACAAGTATGGAATTTTCAGCATGGATATCAGTAGCCCAAATTTTGCAGGCCGACCATAGATATCAGGTGTGCGTCGGCAGGGGATCGAACCTGGGACCATGAGCATGGTCGACGAGAGTCCCCTAACCACTGTGCCACCGACTAACAGAATGGTTAGAGATGCCCTTAGAAGAGTGAATACCTTACATAGTTGTAAACCGCAGATATCCACATAATGTCGATAATCTAATGTGTAGAAGTCTTTGGGAATGATATTAAGTATTAAAATGAAGTCAGTATGTGATTTGTGTACCCAGAACTATCAGTTTTTTTCTCATAGACTAATTCCCCTATATGAATTTAAATCAAGTAAAACCAAACGTTCGTTCACAATAAGATGGAGCCATCATCTATCATTTCCCTTTATCTGCGTACAACCTAAAGGTTAATTCTGACATACTTAACATAACATTTATAAACAATACCCAGAAGTTAAAGTGACATAAATTATGCAAAAGTTTAAACAAAATTCAAACATACAAAATTACTGGTTGGATATACATTGAAAATTGAATTACACAATCAAGGCAATAGACAAGATGTTGATGATAAATAACTAATCAGTTAGATAATAATAATAAGGTGAGGAGTTCAATTCAAGTCATAGGAATAAAAAAAAAAGAAACAAGCTGAATTAGGCTGAAGCAAAACTGGAAGGAGGCTAGAGTAAAACGTTATTGTAATTAAATGAGAAGAGGAGATTACACTCTGATTTGCCAGTACGATGGAAGACTGATAAGTGAATCTTTCTGAACACGTAAATCAGGTTTTAAACATTTGATGGAGATTGCTTTGGTAGATTTGAAGAGAGTTGAGTTATGTATTGTCTATGATTAATCTTGAAGAGGATTATATGATATCTCCACCTCACGACACGTATCAACAAGATGTCTGGCAATATCCCTATTCAAAGCATTCTATCCCTTGAGACGTAGAGTTTTTTTCGGCATATTCGTAGAAATCAACGAAATGAATGATAGATTCCAGCGTATTCCGCACAAACATTTTCTTTTGCTTTATTTAAATTATTAGTTTTTCTTGAACTGTCTAATGTTAATTTTCAAGTGTTGGTTTGTAGGGATTTGGTTGATTGGTTACAGGATTTTATCGTGAGCTAACATTAGTTAAAGAACCATTTGAAAACCTGGGAGTACTGGACAGCTGTTTCGTCAGCCTAATTTGGGACTCTTCATCAGTACCCACCCACTAGGGTTCCAACCCCGAACCTTCTGGTTACAAGGCGAGCTCATAGGCCAATAAACCACAGAGACCCGATCCAATGGTCTATGAATTCCAACTTCTGCTAATTCATGATATAGCGTAACCCTTAGCCAATGTCATCGCTGGCGAGTATTTGTCTTCACACTCGACCTGCTGCACCCTACTGGTCACGACTTCTCACTAGAACCCCAGGTTAACTACCTACCTGAATAGGTCAAGTCGCTAGTGAGCATCTCATCGATATTTTAAGTGTTGGTTTGTGGGATTTGGTTGATTGGTTACAGAATTTCATCATGAGCTGACACAAGTTACAGAACCATTGGAAAACCTGCAGAGAGTACTGAACAACTGTTTGGATGTTTAATCTTAAGGCTGAAATTGAAATTTTTGAGTTTGTAAGAGTTGGATTTTCTGTAAAAATTAATTTATTCCTATCAGTAAAAAGTTTGAGCATTGTGGATTAGATCAAATAAAGTATAATTATATTTTAATAGTTTACACACAATGATAAGTTTTGTTATTGGTAATTTTGCTCGAAATATTACCAATAACAAAACTTATCATTGTGTGTAAACTATTAAAATATAATTATACTTTATTTAATTTATTCCTGGTCTGCATAAGTATTTTATTTTATCCTTATATAGTTATCATTCCTTTATATCTCTTTTGAATGTAATACTTATCAGTTTATATGGTATAGAGCATGTGATAATTTAACACAGTACTACTTAGTGTCTTGGAGACAATTGTTTTTGCCCTACTATGGTTCTTTTTTATATTATTACTATTAATCGTTTTTATTTCAGATCCTTCCTATAGTGCCTATCGTTTATGTGGTGTACTTTTACATATTGGTAATCAACCGACTTCAGGACATTATATAGCTGTTCTTAGAGATTCGTACAATGATATCAGTGTCTCTTCGGATAATCACAGTAAAGAACAACTATCTTCTGGATGTGAACAAGAAATGAAATCAGATGAATGTTGGAGTGTTTGCAATGATGCAGATGTAAGCATTTGTGTAAACATTTTGATGAAAATATTGATTTGATAATTTATCTTGAATTTATTATTTCTGTGAAGTAGATAATGTTCAAAGTTGAAGAGTCATATAAAATTATCCTGACTAGACTTACTCTCACAGCTTAGCATAAAAATGTTTAGTGCAGTTCTAACTAAGCTTTTATAATATTTGGATGGTCTCTTATATTACAATCCTTACAAATAAGATATATTCGTTTGAATTTCATTGCACTCACTTTCCGGGGTTAATTGTTGTTGTCATGGTTGATCTTCAAGAGTGTATGAATGTATAGCACCTCGAACTACAGCACTGGATGATCCAGGTTTGAATCTCAGATGGGATATGATAGTCCCTCCAAGATTGCAGGTACAACTTGCTGACGAGTGCCAATGAGCACGAAACCTAGGTGCAAGAAGACTTCCCGTCGATTGCCTACAACCATCTGTCAGATTGTCTATTTCATTGAGTGTTGTGAAAAATTATTTAAATATTTTGTTTGTTTTTTTAAAAAGAAATCTGTATTATTCTTTTTCTAAGGTCTTCACTATTCCATCACAGCATTTCAAACTAGCTAAAGTTAACGGGACAGCTAAATCTTTGCAGGGCTACTTAACACATTCAGAAAATTCAGAATCACAACAAACAGATCAAAGTAAAGTTGACCAGTCTACTGAAAATTCTTCTCATCGTAAAGCTAAAAAGCGTCGTTATGACGCAACCACCTCTTCTACGGATGTAAATAATACTGACTTGAATGAAAGCATTGAGGATACAGTAATCTATGAAACTCCATCAAAAAAAATCCCATGGCATAGTTCAACTAACGCGTATATGCTATTTTATGAAGCAGTTGACAAGTGTAATATAGATCAAGGTAATTTTAACTTCCGTTACTTGATATCTGAATACTCTTGTATTTATAATGTGTACACATTATTCGTTTGTAGTTTCAGCAATTTTCCATAGCATTGTTTTTCTTCTACCAAATAAAGAGAGGACCAAAAAGAATCTTTGAATTTTTTAATGTTTTGTTAAGAAAAAGTGTTGCTTATTGTAAGTAATTCAAATCTTAGGATTACAGAAAGTTAGAGGAATAATTGAAAAATGCACTAATATTTAATGTATACGAAATATTCAAAAAGTTTCCCAAACATCATCACCTTTGTGTATGTGTTTCTGACGTTCAGAATAGCTCAGATGTATATTCCCTCTTCTTCCATATCAATTAAAGCTTCAAATTTTCCCATGTTACTGTTCTTTCTCCCCAAACATTCCTGCTTACTATTATTATTATTTTTTAATTCCTAGAGGAACATATGGCTTCAGCCAAACGTCTCCATTGCGTTCGGTTTTCTGCTAAAGTTTTCACCCGGCTGCAAGTCTGCCCACATGCTTTCGTCTCCTCTTCACATGACCTCCTCCAAGTCACCCTTGCACTGACGACCAACTCGCCGCTTCCATCTCGGGTTCCACTCAAGGGCTTGTCTAGTGATGACACTTGATGGTTTCTTCAGAGTATGGCCAACCCATCTCCATTTCTTCCTGCCTATTTGTTTCACAATCGGTTCCTGCTGAGTTGGTTTGCTCCCAGAGATCCCTGTTGCTGATCTTTTCTGGCCATCTGATCTTAACAGCGAAGAAAGCTATTGATGAAGGTCTGTAGTTTGTTTGAGATGCTCTTTATGACGCGCAGTGCAAGTTTCTGATCCGTATAGTGAGTAGCGCTGACTTCACATTGGAGTTGTAAATCCGGAACTTACTTTTCATTCTGTGTGCCGTTGACCTCCACACAGACTTGAGAGTACTGAAGGCTTGTCTTGCTTTCCCGATCCTTGCTTTGATATCCTCGTCAGTTCTGCCTGCTCACTATAGTTCCTTTGAATATCTTTTCTCTACCTTTGTACGCTAAATGGGGGTGTGACAGCTTCCTTGAAACACTGCACTTCTACGCAAAGTTCTTTGTTGAAACTCAGTCAATGAGTAAATTTCCTGTCAGAGATCCGGGTTTGGTAATCTTTATCAACATAGATAATTTAATTTTTCTCCAAATCGACATTCGAACAAATTAGCTTTCTGGTCTTTAGATATTCTGCATTGAAAATAACGTCTATTGAATTAGTGAAGGGAACTAAGTATCCTTTTTTATCTATTCAAGGTTTGATATTTCTTTTTCTACTATCATTCCTTTGTGGTCCGAGTAAAACGTGTGGAGTTTTAAGCCTTAAGCTTTGAAGTTTCTGTAGTCTTGGTTATATTTTTACGGGATGAGGTTGCTAGCTTCACGCACCCCCTAACCTTCCTTCTTTATCTGTTAATGAACCAAATGAGCTTCAGGAGTGTGTCAGCCGGAAGTCGAATCCGTACCACTTGTGTGTAACTTGGGAACATTCTACCTTTGCACCACTGACTCATTAAGCTTTTATTACTGTCTCTAAATTTAAGGGAGAATATTGTATTAAATGTAGTTACTCCAAAAGTTCTAGTGGTTGTGTGAAATGAGAGAGAGAGAGTAAATGTATGCAATGAATAGCATTTTTTTACGCCTCACTTGTTCAATTGTTTTGTGAAATTCACATCACCTTGAAAGAAATCTACATACGTATTTGGGGTAATTTGTTTCTACTAGTGAACATTTCAATACTGTGTGGTAGATAACGTAATCCATTTGCAGAAATTGTATTCAACTTCATGTTATCTCTTATATTTGAACAAGTCTTGAGGCCATCCACTTGCTTTTTTGTTCCCAGAAGTCTTAGAGACATTCTTATCACTGTCAGTATGACTTTAAACTTAGAAATGTTTAGCGGTTACATACGTAAATTGTACTGTTTAAAATTCAGTAGTTTGGTGTAATGAATGTTTTAATTCGTGGATTATTTATGGATTAGACCACTCAGATCACTATACATCTGGTATTTTCTATCTATTCCTGTTTCGGTAACATACATATGCTACTTTATTACAATACAAAGCGTCTGAAATATGCCGTAAATACTCTGGAAAGCTGTTGTGTAACCTACTACAGACTGGGATGGAAACTATCGAAACATTCATAAACTGATGTAGTCACTCATTCAAATGCTTATTCTAAAGTCCTTAAAAGAAGTGTGCGTCTAAGGTATGATGAATATATTTCGTTTGCATACAAATCCGAGGGTTGTGGTATATTAATCTAGACATACGACTTGTAACCAGTCTCTGGCAAGTTTTAAGCGCACCGTACCTGTCAAAGTTCGATTAGTCAGGTAGTATCACTAATCCTCCCAGGTATCTTGTTAATTGGATTCATCTTCTGATATGCATACAAGTAATATTGTAAGTGATTTTTTGTTACAGAAATAAGTAGTATAGTAATTTATTTGTCTGCTTGTAACATCATTATAATAAGTTATACCCTTCATTAATTTCCTACTTTATATAGAAATTCATGTCCCCTCCGAAATACTTAAAACGATCGAAGAAGTAAATTTAACTGAACAGGAAAAGTTATTGTCTGAACGGAAAAAACAGGTGCGTTATAAATATTTATAAGAGTGTCGCATTTATTATTATTATTATTATGCATATTGCTGTTGAATTATGGGCTCATTGTCATAAGTATTCGAGTTTCAATCAATATTTCCAGGGTTCGAATTTCTGTACACCTGTTTTGCTGCTGGTTAGCAAATACTATCTAAGCGCCCACATCTGGGGAAATGTCACTTAATATCTAAGTAATCTACAAAATCTTTTACTGGACAACAGTTCATATCAAATCGTGAATTATTATGCATTCAGCTCTTCCATCATGAGGTTATTGTTGTAAATGATGAAGTTTTAAGTGAGCTGGGCAAATGTTTAACCTTCTAATCCATTTTTTCGTATAATTGTATCAATCTGCTAAGCTGTAACGTTTTTTCGTGTGAAGTGTTCATGTCAATCACGTCTCATAAACCGTTAATGCCCAGCTCTCGCTACGCTCGGGCCCACGCTGTTCTTCGAAGATTTCAGAAACGCTTAGTTATAACGGACGAAAAAACCAAAACACCGATCTGCCGCTTGATATTTGTTTATTGTTACACCAACATATAAAAGGAATAAGCGAACTAAGGTCTGTAAACAAATATTACAATAATAAATCGTTATATTACTTCTGACGATGTTTCACTCTTCTTTCTGAACAGCGACCGATGAGACGATGACTGTCGTATTGATGCCTCCGCGAAAATCGGGGAAGTTGATTTTAAGCAAACAACCAAGAATTGATCGTTCAATCTTCAACTCCATTGACAGTTCAATAGTGTGATACTAACAACTATATTATCGTATTATTACAGGTGTATGGGACAGTTAAGGTTTACGTCTTTATGTTATTTACAAGTAATAAGTGTAGGCTACTGAGGTGGCACTAATTAAAACCGCTAAACATTGAATTAAAGAAACGAAAATTCATGAATTCATAGAAATTAGAATTCATGGGCGACTGTTGGATTCCAACACAGTGACTGGATAATAACGTGTTGTCCTCGGAACTTGGGTGTCGTCAGTTGGATACCTAGTAGGGTCATATCCCTAACTAGGATTAAATAGCACTCCATTTGCTCAATTTCAGTTGTTCTCCTAGTGATGTCAGTTCACACTGAAATCGATAAACAGGTACACTTGAAAATGTCTGTTTACTCATAGTTAGTTAGTGAAGCCTTATTAAGGGAATCAGTTTCTTTGTTCTACAAAACTTTATTAGTAGTTTTATTTTATATTTTGCTGCTTTATGACCAGAAACTAATTTCAGTTTCTTTTGGATGATAGAATGTTGTTCTCTATAATGTTTTAACAAAATGATATGGCGTTGCATACATGATTTGTAAATAACTTCAATTGTAAAAAGACCCATTTTCTCTTTAAACCACTATTCTGTATGCATTAAAATACACGGTTATATTTTTTCTCAGTTGTTATCTGAGACATCTGAACTATTTGTCTTTTTGTTGTAGGTGAATCGTAAAGACCAGATAATCAACCTTATATCTGAACTGAAACTTCCTGAGCCTCTTGAAATACTATCAGATGAGCTTACCGTGTCTTTGGTATCAACGTCTTGGCTATCCGATTGCCTCAATCATCCTTTGTTATTTGAAGATTCTACAAAATCTACCTATCAATCTGAATCTGAAAAAAAGTCACTTTTGAAGCTTCAGGAACATATATGCCCATCTTCGTCATCCAGTCAGTCTTCCTATTCTTTACGCTCATGTCCACATGGACGCGTGTCTACTGATCTTGCTGCAGGCTCATACAGAGCTGTTTCTACTGCTGGCTTTAAAAAGCTTGTTGAAATTCTTATGTCGAATTCAGTTAACAGTGATACTTCTCACAGTGTCAAGTACGTAGTCTGACTTATATAGTCCTTTTTACTTAAGTATAAATGTTCAATTTTCATTTATTCTGCAAATTTCTTAATGTATTTTGAATTTAATTTAGTGTCTCCGATACTTTTCTGTCGAACAGACACAAAGACTTTGTAGCGTTTAGACAACATGTATTCATACACAAATGAAGGTGTAGTAGCGTGGCGTGTGTTACTGATAGATTTATCAGTAGTATATAGGGTGGCGTTCATTGGCATAAAAACATCACTAGCGACTTGCCCTATTCAGGTAGGCATTTACCTGGGGTTCTAGTGAGAGAAGTCGTGACCAGCAGAGTGCAGCAGGTTGGGTGTGACGACAAATACTCGCCGAAGACATTGGCTAACGGTTGTGCTATACCGTGAATTGGCAGAAGTTGGAATTCATGAAGTGGCCATTGGATCGGGTCTCACTGGCTTAATGGTATACGAGCCAGCTCACCTTGTAACCAGAAGGTCCTGGGCTCAAATCCCGGTGGGTGCGTACTGGTGAAGAGTCCCAAACTAGGCTGACGAATTAGCTGTCCAGTACTCCCAGGTTATCCAGTGATTTTCTAACCGATGTCAGCTCATGATGAAATCCTATGAAAATATCAAATAGCGGAGAGATAGATTGGACATCAAAGAAACTCGCAAAAAGACAAAAACAAAGAAACACAATATGAAGGGCAGAAGTAGCACAACACGGAACATCTGTGCAAATGACGATTTTCAGATGAGGTGTACATAATTCTGCTCTATAGAGATACCAAATTTTAAATAAACATTCTGTTACTAAGTCTCATGTCTTCTACCATTGCAGTAGTATCTTTCTGTTTCACATTCCTGTGTATTTTTCTATTCTAATTTAATTTTGCCTCATATTATCATTTTCAGATTCGATAGATTTCAACCGTGTAAAAAATGCATATCATTAAATATTGCCTTATTGAAGATTGAAAACGCAATAAAAGAATTATCCAAGGAGTTAGATTATTTTTCAAGAACAAATCATTTGTCTTCCTCGTTACAAAAACGTCTTGAAGATGAAAAGGTAAACAGACACAATTGTGTGCGTATATGTTTTAACTGATTTGCTTTGTGTATGGGAAATGAAGTATTACTTAATAGATTTATCGCAGTCCCTTACAGTTGGCAATCAGCCACACCTATTGTGCGTGTGTAAAAGCTAGTGGTACTGTCTGGCTGCCTAAACACATCGGTTGATGGAACGGGGTATCTGTCATCAAGCAGTTAGGAATGAACTAAGTGAATATTCTCCTTGATTGTGTTTTGTTTTTCATTTTGGTTTCTACTCATAAGCAAAACATACATGGGGGAAGACTGAAGTCTTATTGGTAAATCTACCCATTGTCAGCCAGTTTTGCAGTCATACTCTAGTATCACTGTCTACTACATTAGCATCATCGAATAATGTGAATAAGGCATTATGATCGCGAAATTATTACATTGTAATTTTCGTCTAATTAGTAGGGTAACAACTTAAGCAACTTTTAGACAGGGCAAATCTGTATGTATTATTTATTCCCTTGTGTTCTGAGTGGAACATACGGCTTCAGCAGCCCATATCCACTTTGTTCTATTTTCTGCTGTTCTCTTTAGTTGAACCCGAAATTGCTCATAATCTCTTGTCTCCACCTCCCCAAACGACCATGCACATGGTCCGGGGTTCGAGCCCACGCCGGCGCACACCTGATATCTATGGTCGGCCTGCAAAATTTGGGCTACCGATATCCATGCTGAAAATTCCATACTTGTACCAAAAATACAGTGTGGAATCAAGCTGTAAATCAAAAATCAAAAAATGTCACCCTGGAAGCGACGACCCACTCGGGCGTTGGCCTGGCGAGCGATGTCATTCGATAGCCTCTTCAACTTGTACTTGACCCATCTCCATTTTCTCCTGCATATTTGTTGAGCGATTGGCTCTTGATTGGTTTACTCGCAGCCAGAGTTTCTTGTTGCTAATTCTTTCTGGCCGACCTGCCATTTGATATTCAGTGTGGAGCGAGTGAAGGCAGCTGTTGCTAAATGTGTGTAACTTGTTGGAAATCTTTTTCGCGACATACACGTAGTGCAAGTTTCTGATACGTATAGAAGAAGAACTGGCTGACTTGACATTTGTGTTGAAAATCCGAATTTTGTTCTTTATGCTAAGTGCCCGGTGTACTAGTTTGTTAGTTTTCTAGCCGGTCTCAAGCCCGGGTAAAGAGGGAGGGTTGGGCTTCGGCTTAGCCACCCTACACCGCAAAAGCTATCAAAATTGTATGTGGTGTTGGTTTAAGTGTAAATTTGAGTGATTTTTGTGTCTAGTACATTAGATATACTTATATGATGATTAAGATTTTCTTATTCAATAGATTCACTTGATAAAAACCTTGTTGAACGCTTCTTAGTAACATTAAATTGTACGCATGTCCTGGATAAATCAGCAACCGCACTCATAACCCACACTTTTGGGTTGTGAATCTCAGTAAAGGTGTAAAGGTATGAAGTCTTGAATTTCCTGATACTTATAACATCCTACTTCCTATGGAGGACAGTTCGATTGAAATGACGATAAGGCAAAAAAGATCAAATTTGTAGGTTTTCATCAGCTGCAGACTATCTGAAATTAAAATAGTTATAAGAGAATGATGGTACCATACTTTAGTGTTAGCTTCATAGTAGATAAAGCACTTTTTATTGCACCTTAGTCGGTAGCTAGCGTAATGTGTCTAGTCCTATCTTCAGTGCAGACTGCATTCTATCAGTCATGCTTGCAATGTGGCCACCATGCTAGGTGGCTCGGCATTACGGTGCACTGTGAATTGAAGGTTGCAGATACGCCTTGCTGATTAGTGACAACTAGCACAAAACCTAGTTCCAAGGCTTCCTGCCGATCGCCTCCAACTATCTAATAGATAAGTTGTTAAGAAATTAAGGCCTCAGAAATGCAAATGTTACCACTTTCATCATCAGTTTATGCGCATTTAAAAGTAAAATACAGTAGTGGAGTGGGGTATGTGGAGAGAAGGACAAAATAGTGTTAGCTTATAAGATTTCATAACAGCTCAACAAAATTATAGTTAAATGAGTGTAGGACACCGAATTCACTACAATCTGTTGAAACGGTTGTAACTAAACATCTTCAAGCATATATTAAACAGCAAGTCAGGTGTGAGGGCAAATACTTGCCAGCGATGACATTCGCTAATGGTCGCGGCATATCATGCATTGGCAGAAGTTGGAATTCATAGACCGTTGGATCGGGTCCCAGTGGCTTAATGGTCTATGAGCTTGCCTTGTAACCAGAAGGTTCGAGATTCGAACCTCAGTGGGTGGGTACTGATAAAGAGTCCCAAACTAGGCTGACGAAATAGCTGTCCAGTACTCCCAGGTTTTCCAGTGGCCCTTCAACTGATATCAGTTTATGACGAAATCCTGAAGCCAATCAAATCCCTGCAAACCAACACTTGAATATAATAAACTTTCTTCTTATTCTCGCAAGATTTCTTTTTAAACTTCTCACTGTTGTGTTTTTATTCCTTTAACATCGAAATCACAGTGTCAAGATGATGCCGCTGGTTATTATTTAATTGGTAAAAGATCCTTTCGTCAATGGAAAACTCTTGCACGTCATTATACTCGAGCTCTTTACGGTGACATTGAGATCGATTCTGATTCACAAACAATGAAACCTGCTCAGACAACATTGAATCATGATATACTTTGTCCTCACAATCAACTTAGTACAGAAAATGCTCGTTGTCTACCAGCAGTACTCTGGCATCAGTTAGTCGACTTATTCCCTGGTGCTAATATCCCAACATTTCCTATTCATATTGCCTACAGTGCTGATACTGTCATTGATTCATCCAGTATACTAAATAATTCAGAATCATCCTGTTCTGAATGTAATGCAGTACAAATTGATTTAACTAAAAGAGCACTTTGTGAACGTCAATTACTTCCCGGACTGTTTTTATCGAATTCTCAACGTATGCGCCTTTTACAATCTGCTGATGGACAGATAGAGATGAAAGGAAGTACTGTTAACAGATCCAACGAGCTTTCTCTTAAAGAAAGGTAACTAGATTTCATGAGTACAATAAATACTTATTTTATTTTTATTATCATAATTGATAACTTGCCTTTTTTAAACTTTGAAAAGTAAAATCTATGCACTTGATGTTATGATAGTTTTGGTGTTATCTGATGCTTCAGTATTCCATCTTACTTATGTTCATAGTGTTATATATGTTTGATCTTTCCATAGAGTAGGTAATGCCGAGATTGAGTATATAAATCAAGCTAAGCTACTGATGGATCAACGTTGAATTCGGCATCACTCATTTACTTCATGACATTTCTAATTATTGTTGTCAGTCAGCAGAATTTGGAAAAAGTAGATCATTAAACTTCAGTTTAATGCCTCAGTGATAACGTACCACCCGTGTGCAAACTTGGTGATTTTAAGATCAGTTCTACAGTTAATTTCCAACATTTTTTCTAAATTTGACTTCAGTTCTCCGTAGGAACTCTTTCAAAGTATCATTAAATCTCTTCCGCACTTCCGCTTTTCTGTTTATACTGAAGTGATGCAGGTTCTTGCTTCGACTCATCTTTCTCTTTCATGAAAATTTGAAGAATGAATTATTAGTGTATACGGGATATCAAGATCTGTTGTTGATTGTTGACCATGCTGACTGGTATTTCTGTTATCACCTAACTTTATTATCACTTCGGATTATTATAGTTTCCGTACATTCTTATCATTAGTAATCAGTTAACCGTTTACTTAGCTTCGAAATCCCAATTTATTTTATTCCTTTACGTCCCCAGTGGATTATAGACCTTCAAGCTAGAACTTTGAAATTCCGTTAGCAATGGTTCTTTTTCTATTTTTACGGACTGGTGTTATTGGCTTCATGCCCAACCTTCCCTCTTTACCGGCCTTACTCCTAGTTTAGCTAGGTCTAGGAGTACGTTGGCCGAGGATCGGATGTCCGACCACAGACATAATTGACAAATATGTTTCAGTTAGCTTTGTGATCAAAAATAGTTAATAGTGTGAAACTAATATCTGATGAAGCTTTCAAGTGGAACCCAGATGGGAAACGGCGAGTTGGGCTTCCGATGATGATATGGAGGAGATCGTGTGAGGAGGTGGAGCAGGTGAAAGCTTATGGGCAAATGTGGAGCCAGCTAAAGAGGACTGTAGACATCAAGAATGGAATGTAGATGTGCTGCTGAAGCCCTGTGTTTCACTCAGATCCCAAGGGAATAATAACGTCCATTGAAGAATTTGGTTTCTTTTTTGAGTCAGGTTGACCGCTTCACTTATTTGGGAAGTACCATCAGTCCCAACAGGTTGGTCTCTGACGAAATCTCAGCACAGATACAGAGGGTTAGTTTCGCATATGCCAGTTTACGCCGTCTCTGGCGTATACGTGATATCCGGCTGGCCATCGATCAAAGGGCGTGTGTACTGCTCATCAGTCCGCTCCGTCCTCCTTTATGGCCAGCTGTGAGACCTGGCCATTGAGAGTGAAAGACATGAAAAGGCTGGTTAGTTGTCTTTGATCATAGGTGCCTGCGCTCTATCTCCCGTGTGAAGTGGTATAATAAGGTGAGCAATATTGAGGTTAGGTGTCGAGTGCTAAGTGAGGAGGGGAGATCAATCGACGAGGCTGTGAAGTTACACCGATTGAGATGGTTAGGACATGTGTTACGTAGGCCTAGTCATCGCCTTCCTCGACCGACGTGGAATGTTAGCTGACATAGGGTCAGGCTGGAAAAGAGCTACCACATGGTGGTCAAACCAAAACATGGCACCAGTTAATGAAATCCACTACAGTTAGTTTAAGCCAGTCACGTAGGGAGGTGTAGACTTCCTGGTTGGGGTCCTCGGGACGGTAAAAACCAATGGTTGGAAACAATTGGTGATATGGCTCAAAATCGTTCTCAATGGCTAGCGCAGATGCATCCACTCCTTGTGTCTTATGATTTCCAATGAAACTACATTGTTCCTCGTTATTACTATTCCTTTGTCTCACACCTCTGTTTACTGTCTCTATTATGCATTTCTTCGTACTTTCTACTCTTTCTTTGTGTGGCGACTTGAACCGGCGCACATTGGTGCAGAGTTTTATGTCGAAAACAGACAGACAGACAGGTTGTACTTCGAGTCAAGTGGCCTTAATTTTGTTTTAACTATAATTCTTGTATGTTTAAAATAAGTGTATTTATTAACTTACATCTTTTTTCAAGTGCTTTTAATTAAAATGATTTTTGTTTAACTAAAATTATGTATATTTTTTTAGCCGAAATGATATGGATTCATGCGTACAAAATGAAGATCCAGATGCTACAATTTCCAATGATAATAAATTAAACAATAGTGCAATATACTTAATTCCTATGGATTTTGTGTTACAATGGAGAAGGTTTATAAAAAATCCAACAGCAGAAAATTTGCCCAGTTCACTTTTATCCGGATTAAGTACTGATGGTGTACTTTGTGAACACAATCAGGTAAGAATAGTAATACACAATTTTGAACGATGACTTCAGTATGTACATCATATGGACTTCAAACAGATGTTTCCTACATGAATGATATTGTATTCAGTTCTCTGTTTGAATATGTTCAATTAGATTTCTTGGTTTTGTTAAAGTGATTATAAATAATTATGAAGGTTATACTTTACCAACAAAGGATTAACTGTGCTAAGCATATGTTTGTTTCGAAGCGTTGGATTACACAATAACCTCTGCAAATCGTAATAAATATGATGTCTTCTGTACATTGAATATTTTCAACGATTTTGCAATCTCGATCAAATGCCCCGTATCTCTAAGGTGTCTGGAATATCTGCTCTGTAAGCGTAGATTTCTTGGAATTATTATTATTAAAACATAAACTCAGTGCATTATGGGACACCAAAGGATACACTACAGAAAATCTAATAGTCTGTGTGAAAACTGGAATACTTCCCCGGCACACACTTTGCGAAGCAATAGTTGTCTTGTGCCTCCATCCCCGAGCCGTTGACTTGAAGTTTGATTAATAAAGTAGTGGAACAACGTCAGGAGCTGCATTCCTTTGGTACCCTGTAACTAAAAACAAGTTCAAATGTCATTCGATCCATTCAGATTCTGGACCTATTGGTCTGGAATCAGGTTATTCCAGCTCCCCTAGATAGACTTGGATGTGTGTCAGTCAGGTTGTAAGGATTTCACTTTATTATTAACTATTAAGTTCAACTCTGTTTGCTAAAGAGTTGTAGTGTAGACATTATTTTTTATAAGCGGAATTATCATAGTTTACTATGTATCAAATATTTTTAGTGCATGCATGATTTATTATATGTGAAAACCAAATTATTTCTTTTTGTTAATTATTACTTATAGATGCTGAAAACCTGGCAAGTTCTTATAGACGAATCAACTTTATTTCCTCTTTCTTCTTATGAATGGGATGTCTTGTCGCACGCATATCCTAAAACACCACAAGAGAATACTATTCCTCTGAATGCTAGTGGATCGGAAACACAACTGCCATTCTATCCAGCAATGTATTTACTCCCTCGTGATAACTGTGAATCTAAATGGCAGTTAGAACCATCTGCTTATAGTACTTTATGCGCTGAATGTAATTCTCAACTAACAATTGGTAATCAAACTTACAATAACGCTAGAATTCGTATTCGTCTAGTATCTGGTCTAGATGAAGCAGTTAGCAGTTGTCTACAGTCAGTTTCTATCAATCCTCCTCCTCCTACAACGGGTCCATTGGTATCATTGGATGCTAAAATTGAATCTGGCAATACTTCTATTCACTCCTCTGAATCCGGCAATACAAATCCGGACATTCCTGATCAGGTTGGTGGAACGCAGACACGGGTTTTGACAGTCGATGCAAAATTAGTATTTGCACCGCATGTCATACTTCCAGCCACAATATTCGAACACTTTATGGTAGGTATACGGCATGGGGGATATAGAGCTCTGCACATTTTACCTCACCCAAGAGGGTACCCCATGTATTGTGACAGCACTAGAGCAGCAGTAGTAGTAAATCATGGCAAAAGGAACTCTATTCCTGTTATTTCGATAGTCTTACCAAAGTCTAGACTGTATTGGTAAACAAGTGAGGTTAGATAGCAGTAGTTAGAAAGAGAGCACACTTTCAAGTTAATCACTACTATGCTATTTAGTGATGCTGTATTGAAAGCTAATTCATTATGTAGAATAAGAGTGGTTGGTTGATAGTCTAACTTTTAAGACAGTTTCAGATTATGTAACTTAGGTAGTATATTTGAATTATTATAACCAGCAGTCGACTGAAATGTCCTTTAATTTGGCGCAATTTATCACTCTGAAGATAGATATAATTCATCCTAGTCACTTCTTAAAACAATACTTGTCTTCATTTTATTTAGGAAAAATTGTTTTTTTGTTTATTCTTTTGTTGTTTCTTTTCCTTAGAAAATGAATAATTTAAAAGAAATTCAGTCGTATTTAGCCAAACGAGGCGAAAATAACTCAACTCCTTTAACTTCACACAATGGAAACGATTTAAACAAACTCTCAAGTTCTCTTAATGGTAGTAATAATAATAATAATAGTAAATTTACTCAAGAAGACGGGAATCGCCATCATATTTTATGTAATAGTAATAATAATACAAATAATATTCAGTCTACTAATCATTTGGATTCTTCATCTGTAAATTATGTTAGACGTTCAACACGTCAACGTTTAAATCCTAGAGATTTATTGGTTAAAATGAATAGTAGTGATACTTTATTGAATATGAAAGTTCAATTAATGGATATTTTAGGTGTCCTACCATCTGAACAACATATTGTATCTTATGTAAGTTTATCCATAACAAGTAGTATTGATACTATATATATATATATATATATATATATATATATATATATTATTTTCCTAAAAATAGTATATTTATAAAAATTGAGTCAATTTAACCTATTGTTTTTATATTCTTATACGTGTTCCAAATACAACAGAGGTCTGCAAACATGATCACTGAACTTTCAGTAGTGGTATTGTTTTTGTATACCGGATAGGGTTATTAGCTTCACATCCAACCTTCCGTCTTTTCTAGGCTTTTACTACTACAAGGTCTAGGAGAAGAATGTCGGCCCAGGAATCGAACTCAGGGTTATTTTTTATTTAAATGCATAAAAACTTGGTACAGTATGGCACCAAGAAGGATGTGCCACACAATAATAATAATAATAAAGCAACATTGATCAAAAGAAAAAAGAAAGAAAAGGAAAAAATATATGTAAGTAGAGAACGGATAAAGAACTTCATCTGGAAGGAAAACAGTCATGCTTAACAAGTTCAAACAGTATTCGTTGACTATCATCGGGAAGGGAAGAAAGAAGGAAATTGCAACACGTGTATTAGCACGCGATAAGTTCCTTTGATTGTTTATTGCTTCATTCAATTCATTGTGTGAGGGCTGAGATACTGCTTGGGCGCCCAGACCGAAGCAGGTGGTTTTATTAAGGGACCACCCCCCGAGCCTTTGACTTGGAGTCTAATCCGCAAGGCAGCGGAGCAGCGTCAAGAGCTGCATTCCCATGGTTTCCGGTGACCCATATGGGTTCATACGCCATTTGATCCGATTGGATACTGGAGCCCATGTACCCCATGGTAACTACTTTTAGTTTAACCGCTATTCAAACAATCTTCCTGACATGGTAGGACCTGTAGGGACAGAGTCCCAGTCAGTTTAGCATGTTGGGTCATTCCGGTATTCAAGCCCGACCACCATGACAAGGTAGCAGTTATCGGCCGGGGAACTCAGACTCATGTGTATAGTTAGCGAGCATTCATTCTATACACTGAAGCATGGGCTCACTATTGTCTTTTATATATTATTATTCCCTTGTGTTCTGAGTGGGACATACGACTTCAACAACCCATGTCCACTTTGTTTTATTTTCTGCTGTTCCCTTTAGATGCACCTAAAACTGCTCGTAATCTCTCATCTCCTCCTCCCCAAACGATCTCCTCCATGTCACCCTCGAAGCGACGACCCACTCGTCGCTCCCCATTAGGATTTCATTCGGACGTTAGCCTGACCTGAGATGTCATTCGATGGCCTCCTCAACTTGTACTCGACCCATCCTCATTTTCTCTTACATATTTGTTGAGCAATCGGTTCTTGGTTGGTTGGTACTCACAGCCAGAGATTTTTGTTGCCTATTCTTTTTGACCGACCAGCCATTTGATATTCACTATAAAGCGAGTGAAGGCAGCTGTTGCTAAATGTGTGTAACTTGTTGGAATTCTTTTTCATGACGCACACTCAGTGCAAGTTTCTGACCCGTATAGAAGAAGAACTGGCTGACTTCACATTTATGTTGAAAATCCAAATTTTGTTGTGTGTAGAAGATTTCCAAACTGGTGTATCTTGCCTTTCCGATTCTGACCTGCTTTGAAATCTTCATCCATTTCGCCTGTAGTTCTGTTGTCTTTTACTAACAGTGAATTGCTCTAGTTTAATTTTTTTTCTTACAGCTTATACCTTCTGATGCAGCATAAGTAGGTATGCTTCGATTATCGATATAGAGGGTTACTTTTCTAATTTAGATATCACTAAGAATCATTTCTTCACTGTATCCATTTCCCCTATAGTTCAATACATACATCTCGTTTTTGCGTCATTCTTGACATGATGACAATAAGTGTTTAACTGGTCGCTTAATTTTTTAAGGACTGATTATATACTGAGGTAGCCTAACTCTTTTAACATCTTAGTTTAAGCAAACAAACTTAAACTACCATCTTAAGGTTGATTGGAAATTCGCCTTAACAACTTCAATGAACTACTTGTATAAAAAGATGACACATTTTATTGTAGATATTGATTACCTTCTAGGAGTTCATTTCTATATACCTTTTTATTTGAGTGCATATAGCTAAAAGTGTTGTTCGTTAGTTTAAGCATTCAATTCCTAACTGAATGATATATAGTTTCAAAGTATGTTTTATTTACTATGTGTTTACACACTACTCGCATAACTGAAGTAAGGCTTATTGCTAAGTGCACGAACAAACAAAGGAAGTTTGCTTTCGGAAGTGTATGGGTGGTTGTTAATTCGCTGCTGCCCAATCCGTGAAAGTTGATTTTTTCGTCTTGGGGTAGAAAAAACATTAGTGGTTGCTTGACGACAGAGCTGCCGCGATAATTGCTTGAGACCAGTCATTTACCGCCCGTTTGAATTAGTTTTTGTTATCGTAACCTTACTAAGATCTTACTACCGCAAGGTAAGTCGGGATGTACGATTTTCGGGGTAAACCTTTTCTAACGCCCCTGATCTCCAGAGTGGAGAAGCAGTAGTGCTAGTCATCTAAGGGAAACAATTTACCGCTGTTACGTCCCTATTCCCCAGCAGTACGACTTCACCCACATATGATCCCCCCCCCAACATAGTTTAGACAACTTACACTATGACAGTAACTGCCTTTATTCTAATCGCTATCCAAACAACCTTTCTGGCATGGTAGGACCTGCAGGAACATTAATTCTAGCTGGTGTAGCTCGTTAGGTCATTGTGATATGCAAGCCTCACCACCACTTCAATGTAGCAGCTATCGATTAGGATGAACAGAAGCACACTTGACGAAGTCATTAAGCTTCTAGAGGATATATTACTTACAATCTTATTATCCGTGATTAAATCTCTTACATTTTGCTTACTGCATATTTGTGACTTTTTTTGTTTTCTTTATTGGTGTATTACTTAGATTATATACTGAAAAAAAATTTAACTGGTAATAAATACACTTTAATATATGATGCAAGAATGGTGTGATATCATTATTATTACATTTTGCATATTTTAAATATGCTCATTTTTTTAGGGTGTAGAGCTCTTTGATAACACTAAAACACTACAAGAGTTAGGTGTCTGTTCCAATAGTATACTCTATGTATGGGCTGATAATCCAACATGGGATCCTAATCGAACATACTGTGACAATCTAACCTTCAAGTCGACTACACAAAAATCAAAATCTGGTAGTCCGTGTAAATTAACAACTGGTAAGTCGTTTCCAAATATTTGATATTGATATATCTCCCTCTCTCTTATGCCATACTTTGTTTTTAAATAGTTAAGTTTTTCGTTATGACAGCTGTGATCCCTGCCTTTGCATATTCTATGTTCCAATAAACGATTAACAATGTCTACCAAAATATTTATGTTGGCTACCTAGTGTAATTTAGTGTGTGAAAAATCCACAGACTATCACGATAGATTTTAATCAGCACAAAAATAAAACATTTGAAGTATACTAGTTCATTTCATATTTTTACTCATAAAGTGGAGAACCGACCAGATTTCATTGAGTACTGCATGTATTATCTACTCCAGTTGTTTTGCAGGGATTTTTTTGGTTCCTTTGCATTCCAATTGGAACATAGGGTTTCAGGCTTTGAAGTATATCATTAGCAGTGATTTTATCTTTACTGAATGCGTTTATTGGTCTCCACGCCCAACTGCCCCTCACTTTCCCGGGCTTACTGTCAGCTAAGCGAAGTTAAGGAGTGAGTCTGCTGGTGTAACAACAGAAGACAAGGGCCAGGCAACAGATCGTTTTATTATGAAAATCAACACGTATTTATACATCTTTCAACTACATTATTATAGACAAGCGCAGTCATCTGATTGGTTGTTTAGGTAGACAAACGCAGGCTTCTGATTGGTTGTTTCGGGATTCCTTGACAAATAGAGTTCTCTCTGCGAATCATATTCTGCCACGTTAACTTTGCTGTGATTGGTTGTTGACTCAGGCTTGTTCATATTTTCTCACGGCCCATATTAGTGACCTAGACCTTAACGTAGATTAGTGCCAACCAATCGGCTAGCAGCCTGCTCTCACCACACTCGTCCCCCCGTCAAATACGTGCGACTGAAGTCGGCTTGACCTACTTGGTGCAGGCGTCATCGTTGGCTTGTCTCGCTGTATCCATTTCTGGAGCTCGCTGACGTTCACGCGCCTCTCATTGTTCGCCATTGCGACTGTGTCTGCGTAACCCCATCTCGAAGTGACCATATATGGTCCTTCCCACTTTGGAAACTGTTTGCCTGACCCTGTCGAACATTCGTCCATACTTCGGCCCACACCTTCATATGCTGCTTTCGCCCGACCTCCCAGCAGCGTCTCAAGTAGCAGCTCCATCGCTGACAGATTTTGAACGCCACTCAACTGCGCAGAAGCCTTGAAGTCCTGCCCGAAGATCCATATGTCTCCATCAAAAACTGCAGGGTATAGGCTTTTCATTTGTCGGTAGGCAGCGACACCAAATGTAACAACAGAAGACAAGGGCCAGGCAACAGATCGTTTTATTATGAAAATCAACACGTATTTATACATCTTTCAACTACATTATTATAGACAAGCGCAGTCATCTGATTGGTTGTTTAGGTAGACAAACGCAGGCTTCTGATTGGTTGTTTCGGGATTCCTTGACAAATAGAGTTCTCTCTGCGAATCATATTCTGCCACGTTAACTTTGCTGTGATTGGTTGTTGACTCAGGCTTGTTCATATTTTCTCACGGCCCATATTAGTGACCTAGACCTTAACGTAGATTAGTGCCAACCAATCGGCTAGCAGCCTGCTCTCACCACACTGGGAGCCGAGCCCTGGACCACATGCGTAATTGGCGAGCATCCTACCGTTGAACCACCGACGCAAAGTGTTTATCTTAGGTGGGGTTTGAATGACTATTTAGCTCACGAACTGATTGTGGTTAGGGGAAAATTGAAAACTAGGGAGTACTAGGCAGCTGCTTCGTCTTAGTTTGGAGCTACTCAGAGGTATCTAAGACCTTCATAATACGAAGAGTGTCATTTGATTCCACCTCTGTGGTCGAATCGCCAACAGGCCCCCGTAGTAACCCGAGAATCCTGGATTTGATCCCCGGCGGGGTCACGGATGCGTGCTGCTGCAGAGTCCAAAACTAGGGCAGTGTAGCTATCCAGTACTCCCTGGTTATCTGCTATTTTTGTGGAACTCCGTGACACAGTATAAATATCTACTGATAAACTCCAGGATGAAACTGAGCATGTTTTAAATTCACTTTTTAAGGAAAAGAATATCAAGTAGGATTATTTCTCACTTCGGAACATCTCAAATAATTTATTATGTGATTACCAGGGATTTAGTCTCTTTACCTTATTTTTTTTCTTAAATTGTATCAATCTGAGAATTATGCAGTGTCTTATAGCCTATGCATTTTTATACAATTTTCATTTCAGAACCAATCCCTACTGAATCAGGATTCAAAGGCACTCGATTACTTGAGTACTGATGTAATTTTGTTTTCTCTTATATTTTCATCCTTTCCCTAATAATCATCATATGTTCCTTTATCTCTATTTTGTTAGTTTAGTCCTAATATATGCTATCACGAACAACTTCATGATTTTAAATCCCTATTTTTGCATGTACGTTTTTTTCGTTTCACTATCATTATTATTATTTGACAAGAAGTTAAACCCATGAGAATATTTTTACTGGTGCGTTCAAACTGTACATAAAGAGTGTAATTCAGCTTTGTTATTAATAAATGATTATGAGCTTTAATTGATACAAACTAGTTTGTTGTTATTATTCATTTCCGAGTGCAAAATAGGGCCTCAGCAGCACATCACCATTCCACTCTCTTCTCTGTCGTCATTTTCACCGGACTCCATGACTGCACACAAGCGTTTATTCCCTCCTCACATGATCTTCCTGTTATCCTAGGATGCCCAACTAGTCACTTACCATCCGAGAGCCTCACATGTCACATAGGGCTTCAGTTTCAGTAGCAGTGGTGTTTTATTCTACAGCATGGGGCTGCTAGGCTAACATTCAACCTTCCCTCTTTTCCAAGCTTAATACTGTCTAGTTTAGTTTCAGGATTGTACTATCTAGGAATTAAACCGGGACTACGTGTGTGGCTAGCAAGCGTGGTGCAATTGTACAATTGAATACTGACGTACCTTTCCTTGGTTGAACGGAGATAGGAATGTTAATCAATTTGTATATGTTAGAAAGTATAATTTTCAAACAGAGACACTTGGGTACAGTGAGCCAAAATAAAGGGTTAATACTACTTAGGCTGGGTTATTTATAAGACTACGCGGCTTAATTACGTGTATAAGCTAGACTACTTATTATAGAATTCATGTATAGTTTTACTTACAGGCGACACTACTTATTAACCAAGCATTTTCTTCAAGATGCAACCGACAGAACTGAAAGACAGTTACATCAATCCAAAAGACCATGGTTATTTGTGACTGAGTTCCCACCTGCCTTGAGACAACAACATTCTAGCTTGTAAAACGGCAGAAATGTTCTCGAAGATACTACACTCCGAGAGCCTCCTGAGTTACCAAAAGGTTAATGGGTTTTAGGAACGAAAGTACTATAGCACTTGCCATCAAGATGTGATTGCGCAATGTATGTGGGCTCGGCTTAAGGAACATCTTGTCTACGGTTGCGTTTGAAGTGCTCTCTCCTATTGTACTTTGCAGTTTGTTAAAAGCTGACTCTATAGGCGAAGCCTATGTTTCGTTCAAATCGCGTTTACCATTAACAGGTTACTTAGATGTACTGACTGACTGGTTTCAACTTGGAACTTTGCACGCCCCATTAAGCACACAAAGCAAGAGAAGAGAGAGATAATAAACAGAAATATGAGGTAAAAAATTACTAATGTGGAAGGACAATGGAACTTTACTGGACATTATAAATCCCAGAGTGGATGCATCTGCGTCATTGAAAACGGTTTTGAGCCATATCACCAGTTGTCTCCAGCCATTGGTCTTTGCCATCCTGAGGACTCCAACCAGGAAGTGTACATCGCCCTACATGGCTTAAACTAACTATTGTGGATTTTATTGACTGATGCCGTGTTTTTGTTTACCGCCACTAGCTCTTTTCCAACCTGATCCTGTGTCAGCTAAAACTGCCGGTCGAGGGAGGCGTGTGTAACACATGTCCGGTGTAGCTTCACAACCTCGTCTATTGATTCCCCCTCCTTACCTAGCACTCGACGCCTAACCTCAATACCGCTCACCCTATTATACCACTTAACACGAGAGATAGAATGCAGACGCATATGATCAACCACAGCTAGCCGACCTTTTCATGTCTTCCATTTCTAGTGGCCAGGTCGCACAGCCATAAGGGAGGACGGAGCGAACTGCTGAGCAGTACGTAAGCCCTTTGTTCGACATTCAGCCGGATATCACACCTACGCCAGAGTATGTGAAGTGGTTAACACGCTCTACCACTTCACTATCTTTAAGCCAGGAGTCAGTGTAGTCCAGTTCTGTAGCGCCATCTAACATTTGATGATGCACTGCAGAACAGTCTTTATTTTACCATCACTTTTTGGGGAAGACCCTCTAAACCACTTGAAATAGGTATGTTTAAAGATTCCGTTGACATTTCGGAAGTCAACCAGAAATTCACCTCAGAAAGAGTTAAGGCATATAGACATATCTATTGATAATTTTTAGCCAGAGGTGGAATAAGATGTGGTGACTTAGCTTCCTTATTTCTGTTCAACTCTTACACTGATGCCATTCTTAAGACGGGTGTTTAGACTCTTCATTTTGAGTAGGGATTCTAAGGAGTAGCGTACGGACTACTTAGTTCAGAAAACTTAGGTATGTAAAGATGTGAGATGGGAATGGCGAGAACTGTCCTTTTACTTAACTATTGCGTACTGCCGATGATTCCCAAACTAGGATGAAACAGCAGCTGTCCAGTACTCCCTGGTTTTCAATGGTTCTCTAACTGATATCAATCCGTGATCAACTCGTAAAACATAACTAATCCTTACAAACCAAACTATAGAAAGTTAATCTGATGCTCGCTAATGACTTGCTACAGGTTGGAGTTTCCTGAGTTCTAGTGAGAAGTCGTGACCAGTGAGGTCCAATTAGATGTCACGTGTGTGGATGGATGTCCCACCAACGACAATGGTTGGGGTCGCGCTAAATCACGAATTGGTAGAAGTTAGAATTCACGAGCCATTGAATCGGGTTCCAGTGGCTGAATGGTATACGAGCTTGCCTTGTAACCGGAAGGTCCTGGGTTCGAAACCCAGTGGGTGCGTACTGCCGATGATTCCCAAACTAGGATGAAACAGCAGCTGTCCAGTACTCCCTGGTTTTCAATGGTTCTCTAACTGATATCAATCCGTGATCAACTCGTAAAACTTAACTATTGTGGTCGAATAAACCTGAAACACTACACTGATGAGACATTTTCAGAGTATTCGTAATGCTGAGATATGAATCGCTAAATTTGACCACTTAGCTTACATATCCTTACTGTGGAAATTGTACAGACGGCTTTATATGGGACAAAATTTCATATGGATTAACACACAATGATGCATTAAAACTTCCTCCATTTGGAAGAACTGACAAACTGAGACAATTACATATTCTTTCCTTTTGCACACATGCAAGGAAAGCATGTATAGTTATAGAGCACTCAGTGCCTAAAGCTTAAAAAATCCAACAGAGTGAATACTTAATCGCAGACATAAATAATACTTACGACAACCAGCCTCAACCTCGCCTGGATTATTAGCTCGCTAGTTTTCTAGCCTGTCCCAAGCTCGGATAAAGAGGAAGTTTTGGGGCGTGGTGCTAGCAACTCCACCCCCAAATTGCTACAGAAACTTCAATGCATAAATATATTAAAAATATAAACAATAACCTTATTTTTCGCTGGAATCGGGGAAGTGAAATGACGCAGGCTGGTCAAAGCCTTCGGGAAGCCAGTCAGCCGATGTGTCTCCTTTCGATGAAAGCAAAAATAAGGATGGGGACGTGGAATGTTCGTACAATGTACGAAGCTGGAAAGGCTGCCCAGGTAGCCGCAGAAATGAGAAGATATGGAATAGAAGTTTTTGGAATCTGCGATGTGGAAGGTGCCAACTATCAACTGGAGACAATAATCTATTCCAGCCACCCAGAGGACAACCATGAGCACACCGAGGAAGTGGCCATCATGATATCACCAACAGCAGTCAAAGCTCTCATGCACTGGGAACCAATCTCTCCCAGGATAATGACAGCCAGGTTCAACTCAAAAGGAAGGAAGGTTACAATCATTCAATGCGTCTACAAACGTCTCAAAACAAGAGAAGGAGGCGTTCTACAGACAACTACAAACAGTAATGGACAACGTCCCAAATCGCGATATCAAAATCCTGATGTGTGATATAAATGCGGAGCTGGGGGGGGACAATACAGGAAGAGAACTCACCATGGGTCGCGAGGCCCTCGGTGAAATGAACGACAATGTTCAACTCTTCTCAGACTTCAATGATTTGGTGACAGTGTGTTCAAACACAAAGATATACACAAGGTGATATGAATTTCACCAGCTGGACACACCAAAAACCACATAGACTTCATATCTGTCTGTCTATCTGTCTTCGACATAGACTTCATTTCAATCTCAAGGAAGTGGAGACGGAGCTTACTGGACACAAGATCGAGGAGAGGAGCAGATGTGGGTTCATACCACTATCTAGTACAAAGGACTTTCAGGGTGAAGCTAAAAGCCTTGAGGATAGCTGGGGATAGGCCACAATGCAAGTTCAACACTTAAAAACTGAAGGACACAACCACAAGGGACACTTTCACTGCAACTGTCAGAGCAAAGCAGGAAACACTACGTGACATCACTGAAGAATCATGCGTGGAAGACCACTGGAACTCTCTGAAGGCGATTTTTAACAAAACGTGTTCAATGGTTTTAGGAAGAAAGAAAAGGCAAGACAAGCAATGGCTCTCAATGGACACTTGGAAGCTAATAGAGGAGAGGAGAATGGTGAAAGAGAAAATGACTCAATGCGAAGACGGACAGGAGAAGGGGACGCTGAGCTCAACTTACACAGCACTGGACAAAGAAGTGAAGAAAAGTGCTAGGAAGGACAAAAGACAATTCTACGACAATCTGGCCACTGAAGCTGAGAAGGCAGCAGGCAAAAGGGACCTGAGGACATCATATCAGATAACCAAATCTCTATCCGGGAAGAGATCAACACAAGCGAAACCTATAAAAGACAGCCAAGGGAACCCAATTACCAAGGAAGAAAAACAGATTAAACAATGGGCGGATCACTTCAAAGGACTCTTGAACCGACCATCACCTGCAACCCGTCCAGAAATACCAACAACAGCGCGCACACAAATGCAAGTTGACACCAATCCTCCAACGAGAGCTGAAGTCTTGAATGCAATCAAGCTTCTGAAAGCTGGAAAAGCAGCCGGACCAGATGGAATACCCCCTGAAGCACTGAAAGCGGACCCAGAGACTACAGCAGATATGCTGACTCCATTATTGCAAAAGGTCTGGAAGGAGGGAAAGGTGCCTACTGACTGGAGGAAAGGTTACCTCGTGAAACTACCAAAGAAGGGCGACTTACGATCACTCTGCAAGAACTGGCGAGGAATCATGCTCCTATCGACGCCAAGTAAAATCCTGAGTCGCATCATCCTGGAGAGATTAAAGAACGCACTGGAGACAGAACTCCGACCAGAACAAGCTGGATTCAGGAAAGGCAAATCATGTACTGACCAAATTGCAACTCTACGCATCACCATCGAACAAAGCATGGAATGGCAATCAAACCTCTACCTCAACTTTATAGACTTTGAGAAGGCCTTCGACAGCGTTGACCGTGAAGTAATTTGGAAATTACTCGAGTACTATGGCGCACCCCAAATATTCATCAACCTTATTCAACAGCTGTACGACAACGACATGTGTCAAGTGATCCACAACGGAAAACTCAGCAAGGCGTTTGGAGTAAACACAGGAGTCAGACAAGGGTGCTTATTATCACCAATGATATTCCTAATTGTGGTGGACTGGATTATGCGTCAGACAGTGGGAAACGAGAAGACAAGGATATCCTGGACCGACGTGAAGAACCTAGAAGACCTGGATTTCGCGCGTGGATGATTTATGTTTGATGTCACTGTCACAAAATCGAAGACTTACAAGCGAAAACCGACAAACTGGTCGAAGAAGCAGCAAAGACAGGACTCCAGGTGAACATAGACAAGACGGAGGTTATGAAAATAACCAACCAGCCCAACAACAACGACGGCAGCAGCAACATCCAGCGCCAATCACCATCAACGGGAGGGATTTGAAAGAGGTTACTTCATTCACTCACTTATCTAGGGAGCATTGTCTCAACTACAGGCAGTCGGAACGGACGAGGATGTCAAATTGAGTGAGAATCGGGAAGGTGAGAAACACACACATTCATCAACCTGAAACCAATTTGGAAGTCTTTGTCACTCAGCATCAACAACAAAATTCGGTCAGATGTTCAATACAAACAACGTCAAGTCAGTCAGTTCACCTATACGGAGCAGAAACTTGGCGGGCGGGTCACAAAGAATATTTCCGACAGCCTGTTGCAGACCAGACCTTTATCAACAACTGTCTTCGCTGGATCTATACTGAAGATCAGATGGCCGGGCCGGAAAGAATCACCAACAAGAAACTATGGGTGGGAACAAACAAAACCAGTCGCCGCCCAACAAATATGCATGAGAAAGTGGAGATGGATTGGACACTCGCTGAGGAGGCCGGTTGGTGACATGGCGCGCGCGTCAGGCCATTGCTCGAGTGGAACCCGAAAGGGGAGCGGCAAGTGGGACGTCCAAGGGTGACATGCAGGAGATCGTGTGAAGAGGAGTTGAAACATTATGGACTAACATGGATGCAGGTAAAAAGTACAGCAGAAGACAGAAGCAAGTGGAGACGTGCAGTTGAAGCCCTATGTTCTACTAGGAACCCAAGGGAACAATAATAATACAACCAGCCTCATGCACAGTGCTTTCATTAAAACATCTTCAGTACAATTTAAACGGCACATAAAACCGTGCGCTAAATAAGTTGGGGATTAATGGGAAACCAAATGCTGTTGAAGCCAAGATGATGTATGTGCTCATCTGTATTGACGGGGACCTAAATATAGTATAAACTAGCCTATATGAATTCACTGGATAGTCTAGAACATGTGATCTGGAAGGCAGTCCTAAAATACTGCGGTTTTGATATTAGGACAATAAAAATGCATTGGTAACTTATTTGTATGAATGCCGCATTAAACATCTGTAGGCTGTCGTTGTGAGTATTGTATTTTTTTAGAACGAACGGACTCACGTCGGAGTGTACAACACAGAGGGTGTTGCTCAAATGTGGAACCTTGAAGTTTGTCTCATAATATCTGCTAGTCAACAACATACATTCACCTTTCTAGACTGCCTATTAAGGAGTGACCTTCGTTCGTCTGGTTACAGGAATATTAGCAACTAAGTGACATGAAAGTGAAAACATCTTTCCCGTCTAGGCATTTCTGGTGTGATGAATCCACATCATTCAGTAGATAAATACCTCTTTGTCTCTTGGTGATATTCATTTTGGTAATGTTCCCTGACGATAAGTGGGGCCCACTCTTTATATAAGTATCGCTTACAGTGACTTTGACAGTGAAAGACAAACTACCTCTAATGCTTCTGACAGTTGACATATAACTCACATTGATACAAAATGTAGAAAATGAGTGGTGGTCTGGTTGAGACACCTATCGACAACAAATCTAAACCTTCAGTTTGGGAGGCTTTATCACACGAAATACAAAAACGTTAGACCATAGAGCAAAGAAGTTAACGGCTCAACAGCCAGGCGTATGTCAATATATTACCTATTATAGTGCTACTGATTATACAACTTAGCTGTCCGAATTTGTTGTCATTATTATTAATATTATCGTAACCAAATCTAATTTGGTTAACTAGCAAGTTACCTTCAAGCAAAATCAACTAGAAATAGTAGTGAGTTTTGTTACCAAGAAACCTATTTGTTTCGCAAATGCATACATAAGCCCATTAAAAACTGTAGATGACAACACTATTCCGTACGAGGTTATTTTGAAGTATGTGATTTATAAGTGACAAAAAATTTTCTAACTACGAAAAGTGGTTTTACTTTCCAGCAGAGGAACTCTTCCGCCTAACAAGTGTAAGAGAAAAAGTAGTAAAAAATACAGTTTCGCCCTTCACCATTATGCACAGTGTGGATATTCATTCACTGAATATACACGCTTCCTGTGTATGCAAGACACACTAGCAAAAGTTTAACACATTACATTTTGGTGGTCGCAGCCGCAAAATTAAAGACAGTAGAATATGCGTTTATAGGAACTGTTCGAGCTTCAATCATTAAAATTCCGGTAAACAATTGCATAAGACATACTTACTTCCAAAAAATTTCATTTGATAAAACTGATGTGTAAGTGGTGAGAACTGCATGCAGCTTCATCAGAAGTGGTGACGCTTTTAAATATACACACGGGCTTCCAATAATGGAGAAATTAACCTGAGAAATCATCAAGGGATTTTATTCTTCGTGGGACTGCTCAATTTGGTAGTGAAAGTTGAACACAACTGATAACAACACAAACTCGATTCGACTGATGACACCACAAAAAAAGCACGGTGACCGGGTTGAGAAAGAAATGAGCAACAAAAATGTGGACGTGGTACTGGCAGTATATTTAGAAAATACATTAAAATAGTATATTTACACTCTGGTAAATGTTCAGTCAGACTCCGAGTCTGACTCTCGTGTATCCGTAGCAGACAAGCATCTCTCGAGTACATAAGCAGTTTGAGGCTGAATGCGCCTGTAATAGTCATCTACTTCACCAGTAATTTCAAATCCAAAACGCTTATAAAATGCTACAGCCCCTTCGTTCCCAACATGAACATGTAAATAAATGCTTTTGATTCCCCCATGCTTCTGACAGAATTTGATGACATGTTTCAGCATCAATGTGCCTACACCATGTCCTCTGTACGGTGCCAAACATCCTAAGGTCATTATGTAACACTTCTTAACCGTTTGACCAGAACTTTCATCGCCAGATGGATCAGAACTTTTCACCAAAACATTTTCTATCCGATAGCTTACGGCACCAACAACGATGTCGTTAAAATAAGCCAGCCTGCACATTTTGCTATTCTTCAACACATCGCTATAAAATTTCTCTGTATACGTAACAGGAAAAACATTTTGGTTAATTAATCTGAACTGCTTAATGTTATGTGGGGTCAGTTGTCCGAGTTCAATCTTTTTATACATTTGACTCGCATTTATAGATTTCTTCTCCTCCTTCACTGCACCATCGAGCTTTGATTGTACCGCAAGCATAACTAAGTATGCGGAAATCGAAATACCGCCGAACAACAACAATTTAAGGAGTGCGCTGAGACAACTAAACGCTATCTGATTTCATTTAAGACAGGCTTTTGCAACTCATGGCCATTAGCAGATAAAATTCTCATTCCAGCGTTTCAGAGATAAATGTGTCTATTATATCAGTACCAGAATAACTTTCTAACCTAACAATTATTATAATAATAATGTATATTTTCATATAAACATAAATTTACATGAAAATGCATGACATTTTTACAGGCACGATCAAGTGGGAATAATAAACAGACTGCTGCAGCGAAGAAAATTTTCTTTGCGACGAAGTCATCAACTAGGCTGTACCTTCGTATAATTATAATAGATGGGAGAGAGTGTTTCAGAATAATTTTCGGTTAACGGTCAAATTAATAAAATTACAATTAGGAATTGAGATGCCATAATAAACAGGGGGCGAATGAAACTCAAGCAAAGTAGCATCATAATTCCTGAGAAGATTGAAATATTGTGCAATTGGGGATTAGAAATGTAGAAATAACAAAAATAGACAGGATGTTTGGATAAAACAATATCTAGTGGGATCATAACTAGTGTGATGAGTGATTGTTTATGCAATCAGGGATTAAATATGTAGAAATAGTAAAATGACAAAATAAACAGGAAGTTCGGATATGAAAATATGGTAGTGTAAATAGGGATTAAAAACTTAAAAATGACATGAACAAACAAGAAGTTTGTGTAGGAAAGGCAATGGGATAGTCACTATTAAAAGAATTACCCGTTTCTGACGGCCATGGCATGGAAACGGTTGGACGTATTTCTTCCGAATGAATAGCGTGCGTTTGGGCTTTCGAATGGCTAGTGCGTCGGTTATACCCGTATCTTAATTTTACTACCTTTGATCGGTTTGATCGAATCTTTTATATGATTTTAAAGGTTTTTTGAATGTCTCTGAATGTCCTGAATTGACTAGATGTTCTATCACTTAACTATATACACGTTTTCGATCTCCTTTTACTAGCCAGGCTGGATAGTATTCAGGAGCGCGTTTTTCAATTTGGCGTATTGTACGGCCGATGTACTCAGCTCCAAACGAGCAAGTAAACTGGTACATGCGCGCTGAAGTGGCCCAATGCGATGGTTTGTCCTTCGCACTCTAGGTGAACAGTTTATTGCAGGAAAACATCAGTCGTAGGCCCGCGGTGAAGTATGTTTTCCACAGAGATTTGTAGAAGTGTTTACGAAGGATTTCTGCTTCAATGTCACCTTTGAACTCTAGATCAGGCAGAAGTATATTCTTAGGGAAGGACAGGACGTCTAGTGAGACCATTTTCCCATCTGCGAGGTTGACATTTTTGATTGAACTGATGGAATTTAATGTTTCGCTGAGGTTGTATCTCGACAGCTTTTCTTTTACTGGTCCAAGAATTACTGCCAGCCACTTTGCGACTGGGCGTTATGTCGAATTAATCATATCTAATATTGGCGGAATCAGACACCCTTCTTGTGCACTTTTGGTAGTCCAAACATTTGAGGCAATGTAAGACCAGATGTGCGCACTTGTTCACATAGTTCTGTATTAATAATTGACTCATCTTTCATTTTTAATTTTTTTTCAACAATTCAGTCAGCTGGAGCTCCGTCCGTTTTTGAAATTTGTTATCATCAGAGAGAATTAGAGAAAGTTTCTTCACATAGTCTGATTTATTGAGCAGAACAATTCCGGAACCTTTGTCTGGTCAAGTTATTATCAGGCTTTCATTTGATTTCAATTCCTACAGTAGCTTTCGATGTTCTTTGGAAAGCATATTGCTAAGCATAAGATTCTGTTAATGTAGTCGAAGCAGCAACTCAGAATAGTTGATTAAAGAGTTCTGCACTGTCATATGAGATTGGTACCAGATCATTCGTCTGACTGATCAGATTCTCGAACCGTACCCTACTGTTCAATTCGTACACTTTTAACGATGCATCACAAAACTTTGGTCCGAGCAACAAGAGTTGCATGTGAATTGATGAAAGTGAGGCATCAGAAAAACAATACATATTTCTCGGGACAAGATGCAAAAGCTGTTTCCTTGGCGACAGACTTTAGGCTCTGGTTAAGTTTCATGATGATATCATCCTTTCTCTTCTCGGTAACTGCATCGATTTGGTGCACGAATGACTCACGTTCATCGACAGTCAAATCGCGCAGAACGTGGGAGCTCATTTAGACGTTTTGTTCCGGTTCAGCCAATCTGGACCAGACGGCGTCAATGTGATTCTGGGTATGTCTTTTGAGCGCGCGTGAGCTGGGAGATAGATGGTTTCGTCACAGATTTTTCTAGAATTCTTTCGGGTATTCGTGCTTATTCCGACATCTTTTCCGGAGGGAAATCTCAGCGTTCGCTTCATCAAGCTTGACAAACAAACGTAGAAACATGTTCAATTCTTTTACCGTCGAACGGTCCTTTCTCTTTTTAAAATCAAGCAATATACGCATTTGATCACATGGGAACGATAATAACAATTATTAGATTGCTTCTAGCGTAAGAGGATCGAAGTGACACTTACGCAATCAACTGTGTTCGCATTACGCTTACTAATTTTCCAAGGATTCTCATGTGTCTCCATTGTCAAATTAATGGAATTATTGACCAGTTTAGATGCCAGTATGGTGTTCAACATAGATGTAGAGCCGTATTATCTCCCGAAAATTTGCTTAGTGCATATAAGAAACATCTAGAAAACAGAGCAAGCAAACCGGAGTCTGTGCACGTAAAACAAGTGATGTATATTCATTCGACTACGCTAGGAAAGAGAAGGACGTTTGTTTCGTAATTTCTGTGCCTTATCTGCATTTGGTTGGTGTTATTACAAATATTTTTTCAGCCGGTCAGTTTCATAGTAAAACTTCAAAGAGGGCCATCGGATAACCCTGTGAATACTCGAATTTTGAGTGGCCCATGGTAGCGATCATGTCTCACCCATTTCAACCCGAAATTCAGAGGTCTTTCCGATTATGATTTACTTCCGGCCCTCATGTTGGGGTTCTTTCAGCCTACTTAAAGAGTCGTGTTACATAAATGCTCATGAAAACCTGTTGAAAAATGCGTGATCAACTTATTAGTGGGATTAGCAGTAATCCGAGTGACCTCAACAAAATTACTCTGCTTTTCCCGGCCTGACTGCGCATTATGTGCTACCGTTGGCGGTTAAAATCTGAAGCACTAGGCGAATTTACCCAGTAACCATATAATAGCTCAACATATTGGTTTTAAACGAGTAGGTGATGCCGGTATCGACCATCAGCAGGGGTTGAACTCACGGAGACATTGTCAAAAAATGTTATGTCACATTGTCAGCCACGTCTCATAAACCGTTAATGCCCAGCTCTTGCTACGCTCGGGCCCACGCTGTTCCTTGAAGTTTTTCAGAAACGCTTAGTTATAATGGACGAAAAAACCAAAAGACCAATTTTGACTCGTGGATTCCTTATTGTTACACCAACATATAAAAATAATATTTGAACTAAGGTCTGTGAACAAATATTACAATAATAAATCACAATACTACTTCTGATGGTTTACTGCTGACTTCTTTCTGAACAGCGACCGATGAGACGATGACTGTCGTATTGATGCCTCCGCGAAAATTGGAGAAGTTGGTTTTGAGGAAGCAACCATGAATTGATCGTTCAATCTTCAACTACATTCACAAGGATACTCTGAGGCTGAGTATAATACGGCAGATGTCAATGGAGTTGAAGATTGTACGATCAATTCTTGGTTGTTTGCTCAAAATCAACTTCCCCAATTTTCGCGGAGGCATCAATACGACAGTCATCGTCTCATCGGTTGCTGTTCAGAAAGAAGTCAGGAGACAACTGTCAGGAGTAATATTGTGATTCATTATTCTAATATTTGTTCACAGACCTTAGTAGAAATATCTTTTATATGTTGGTGTTACAATAAAGAATTCCCAAGCGACCAATCGGTGTTTTGGTTTGTGCGTCCGTTATTACTAAGCGTTTCTGAAAAACTTCAAGGAACAGCGTGAGCCCGAGCGTAGCAAGAGCTGGGCATTAACGGTTTACGAGACGTGACTGACAGTTTCTGATGGTAGAAACAGACTTTGGCGGATTCAGACAGTTGGCGAAAGTTTGCATAGTCACCGTTCATCTTTCCTGGTGCCGGTCAAGTCCTCTTTGAACAAGCAATATCTGAAACGTTTTTGGAATTGGGTCAAGTTCAACAATGCCTGGGTCAAAGAGGGGACAGAGCGTCTTGGATCCAAACAGGAAGGTAAGTCATGGTGACTTGTCTGTTAATTGTAATGATGTGTCTGATGTTAAGCATGACATGGTTGATGTTACTGTTTCGCCGTTCAGGGATAATAGCAACATCAAACTCCCTAAATTAGAACCACGGTGTTGCGATGGAAACCCGGCTGATCATTTACAATTTGTAAAGGAGTTTGAGATCATATTGAGTAGTTTTCTATTAAGTGATGAATTGAGGTTAATGTATTCGATGAGATATTGCACTGGAGATGCTGCAAGAGCTATACAGTGCTGTAAGTTTATGAAGCCAGAAGAGGGCTAATACGAGGCTATGAGCATATAACGTCAAAGGTTTGGAAGACCTTCGATGATTGCAGGGAAATTATTCGAGGCTGTTAAGGGTATTGGTGGTCAATTACAGGATAACTCCCAGGCACTCACTGAGTTTTTAGATAATTTGCTAATTTACAAGAATGCAATGATTTCGATGAATCGCATGAGTGACCTCAACTCGAGTTTTATACTAGAAGTAATAGCAAGACGCCTACCTACTCGACTGCAAAGGAAGTGGGTGAAGATAAGCTCCCGTATGGAGGATGAAGGTATCGAGGCGAAGTTTGACGATATTCTGAAACTCGTAAACGATAGTGTCAATCAATCTATGAGCAAGTTTGCCAGTATATTGCATCTCACCCCTAGGATAGAGCAGCCTGAGGGAAAAACGCAATCATTGACGACGAAAGGGTCTCAGAGAGGTGGATATCGAGAAGGCTCCATGATGTCTAGTAATGCATATAGACCTAGT